ATCTGTTTAAATTATAGGTTTGAGTCTGAGTACTGAGTGCTGTTTATCTTCTACCTTCCACCTAGATATTTGAGAGAGGCTGCTAAGAAACACACGTGAGATACTACCAAACAGCAATGAAACTTTTTAAGGGCTTTGCTTATTTCCTAGAAAATGTTAGGGAGCTGCAGATTCAAGCAAGGTGAAAAATATTTCTCTCAAAGCATGTGGGATTCTTAGAATGAGAACATTAGCCACTTTTTAGGATGTTTCAAGTGAAATATGTAAATATTATAATTAAAACACCCACAAAACAGTTTCCCCTCTGAAACAGAAAAGCCACAGTATTTCAGATAAATAATACCAATTATATCCACAAGTGCCTGTACTTGAATCCTGGTTTTTGCACTCTGCCAGTGACTGGGCAGCACCTGCCAAGCAGAGAGCAGCTCCTGTGCCAGGCAGCTCCCCTGGGTTTCCCCTGTTGCTGCAGGCATTAGTGACACCCAGTACCTGCTGCACTTACAGAACTCCAGCAGATGAGATGGTTCGTTTCAGGGTCCTCCACCAGCGTCCAGAGTTTTGTCAGGAAGGCTGGGACATTGCTGGAGTATCCATCCATCACCAGAGAGCTGGGTGAATCCTGCATAGCTCTGTAGTGCCCCAGCTAAACTGACCCCATCGCCCTGGGCGCGCCTGCTGCCCCGCACGCGCCTGCGTCCCGCACAGAATGAGCCACCCAATTTTATCCCAGGCCAGTGGAAAGTAGGCAGCCAGGGAGTCACATCAGCAGTGCTGCTCACACTCTTAAAAACTCAGCACAATGGGATGGCATCACCAGCCCCAGAGAACAATGCACAGAATGAAAGTGCACCGCAGCCGATCTCGCAGAGCTGTGAATAAATCCGCAGCGTCATGCAAAGGGAACACGTGCTGCCCACCTTACGCTGGGAGGTGGGCAAGTCACCAGAGCAAACCCACCTGCCCAGAGGCTGGGGGACACCCAGGCACAGAAATCACAGCTTTCTGAAGGCACCTGAGTTGTTAGTCTGGAATTTCCTTGTCCTAAACTTTGCCTGGCATAGACTAACAAGAGCTGACCAGACTCAGGGCTGTACATCTTCAGCATGAGTTTGAAAAGTCAAAATTGTAAGCAGGTTTAGCTGCTATGTTATTTGTCAACAGAAATTATTTAGCTCTTGCATGAGAAGAGGATGCTAAAAACAACTACACATAGAGTCTATTAGACAAGATGGATTTATCATTAATATAAAAGCTTTAAATAGCTCTAAATACATGTGTGGCTTAATGCCAGGGTAATTTCAACTCAGAAACTGCTCTTTAGATAACATAATGAAATATAAAATCAACATTAAATTTTCCTGAGGTCCTTAGCAAAAACTTGCAAAGCTCAATATTCCTGCCTAAAAATGGAACAGACTTCTCACCTGATGCCTACAGAGTCCTTTAAGGCCAAACACTGAAAGAGTCAGGAGGTGAGAAGAGACAAGATAAGTAACTGTCATGATAAGGATAACAATGCATTAATCTTTTCTTGCCATTTTTAAAGGGCAGTGAACTAACTTAAAACAGTGTACAAAGAATGTGGTATTTCCCCTAAAACCCAAATCACCATTAAGGACTGACAAAACCCAGCAAGGAACACAAATTTTATATAGGCAGGTGCTACTCATGCCAGGTAACATCATCACACACACAAGGCACGAGGTCAGCAGTGCCTCAGCAGAGTGGAGATGTTTGACACACACTGGGAACAAGGATCAGGTTATTCCTGCAAAGGTGCTTGAACAGAGGACCCCACTCCTCTCACCTGAGCTCTGTGAAGTGCCAAACAGAGCTGGAAGGAACAGCTGCAGCCCCTTCTCTGCATACCTGGAATATTCCATGTCCACCTCAAAGATAATACAATATTCAGACAAGGGATGTAATGCCACAGTTCTGGCACTGGAGCAGACATTCTGCCAATTCGGTCAGGTTTAAACATGGGAAAGCTTCCAAAACTGCAATTAATTCTCAAGAGTCCCTGTTGAGAAAAATAAAACAAGAACATCAAAAAAGAGACAGAGACACACATTAGGATTTAACTAACAAATCAAACTGGACTACAGAGGAGGTTAAAAAAATCAAACCTGAAATTTCACCACATTTTGAACTTTAAAAATTATGAAAATCTCTTGGTCAGTGGTTTCATAGTTGTTTTTTTTTTTTTTTCAATCAATCCTAATAAGCTGACTGATACTTTTCAAGAGTTAAAAATGTCAGATCAAAGCTTTTTGGGAAAAATGGTCTTTTTTCCTACAGTGAGGTTTTGATACTCTGAGTAATAAAAATACAAGGGAATTTTCTGGTACTGCTGCACTGGTAATCAAAAAGCTGAGACAGATTTCTCAAACTGTGGGGGAAAAACCTCTTTGCAAGCAGAAGCTCTGCACAGAAAACAGCCTCACATATCCATTTTTTACTGATAGTGCCACAGAAGGCCTAGAGTAGAAATCAGCAGCTTACTGACAGTGGTCCTTGCCTGTGATGAGATGCTGAAGTTTGGAAAAAAACCTTTTTGATTTTGACTCCAGTTTGCAGCAACTGCACTTACAATGTCTGACACAAAAAGGGAAAAGTGTATTTTAATCAAAGTGTATTTTAATCAAAGTGTATTTTAATCAACCTTTCCTGTGAACCATAATGCAGAAGAGTAAGTGCCTGGGAAGAAGGTTTAGAGCATCATTACCTAACTTTTCCATTTGCCTTCTTCCAAAATGCGTTGCACCTCTCTTCCAGATTTCTGCACAAGCTAAACTACCACCATGACATGTTTTTTCAGCCCTCTCATAACCAAGCAAGAGATTTTTAAAAGCAAACATTCCCCTTCCCAGGGCAGCACTGGAGTGTGGGCCAAGTCTCACAATCTCACTCAGAATTTCATGGCATGCCCTCTCTGGGGCTGGGGAATCCAGAGTCACAGCACTCCCTCAGCAGCACAGATTTCATTGAAATGAAAACCTGTGCACCAAGGGAGCCTCAAGGAAGGGATGGAGCTGAAACCCATGAAGCAGGAACAGAGCAGCAATGCAGAAAGGGTAAGGCAGAGGGGAACAGGACTGCACGTTTTTGTAGAATGTGCTGCTTTGAAGCGTGACTCCTTACTGGGAGTGTGAGGTGGCAGCAGCACAGCAGCTCTGCTATCTTATCTGCCATCGTATCAGTGACAACCCCCTTCCCTTCCCACCCAGCAGGCTACAGCAGCCCAGTGACACCGTCCTGCTTCCTGCCTGGGAACTCAGCATCCTCTGCCATCTTCTCTGGCAATCACCTCGACAGCTCGGGCATTGCTTCTCTGCTTTCAGTACTGTCTCTAACACACATCTGCCAAAGAGTTAAGGCAAAATGTGATCTCATGTGTTCAGCTCCTTTTGTTTTATGATTTCCTTAAAGCCTTTGGAACCATTAAGGAGGATTGTGAATCTCACATACAGTAAGAGCGTGCTTTTAGCCTTCTGACTGCTGCCAGCCCAGGGCAGCCTGTCCTATCCAACCCCAGACCCCTAGGGACTGCCACTGAACCCTGACACCCCAATTCTGTGCCAGCTGAGCCCCACTGAGCCACAGCCTCTCCCCTCACTGCCATCTTTACTTCCCACAAACAAGATGAAATTCCAAGTGCTCTTCAAGCACTTTTATTTCGCCCCATGGGATGCTCCCAGAAGGCACAAACTCAGCAAGGGTCAGCAGAGGAGAAACCTGGGGCTCAGTTACCCATCCTTTTCTTACCCCCACAATATACAGCAGGTGGATTGGCTTCAAGACAAAACATTCCTGGACACGGGTGATGCTCCCCACAGCAATCACATTGTGGCTCCCATCTGGTTCTGGGAGCCAGCACTGCTTCAGGTTTAGCTTTTGGAGTGAAATGTTGGGATGTCCAGGTTCATTTAGCCCCATCAGATAGACCTTAAATGTATTAACTCACCTGCTTAAACTGTTAGCAATAAATGCTTTGCTTCCAGAAGCATTGGCACCATCAGGCCTGCAGACCCTGAAGGGGTCTGTGGGCACTGCCTGCCTCCCTAGATCTGACCCTGTGATCCAGAGCACCCAGGAGATCCAACCCAGATGAACTCCTTTACAGTTCTATTTGAATCATGTCTTTCCTTTAGCAAACAAATTAGGTTTATATTGATAAAATACTGTTGTTGTAAAATAGCATCAGATATATAGGTATTTTTAGTGTTTTAAAATCCTTCCTGCTTCTTTTTGCAGTTCAGTCCCCCAGTTTGCACAAACCACTGCCAAGCCAGAGTGTCTGCAGCTTGCACGTGAGCCCAAAATGTGGCCCCAGGCCCATGCCAGCTTTTCACCAGCTGGGGACAAACCAGGGAACTGCTGCTGTCCTTCAGCTCACAGGGCACCTGTGCAGGGCAGATGCAGCCTGGACAGGGGGCTGCTACCTGAGGCTGAGCAATGGAGACCCAAATCGTGCTTTGATTTGACAGAACCTCTCATGGACTTGGGAAATGCTGCTTCATTCTCTCTACCTACCCAAACTCTCATCAGCAGCACTACGGGGATAAGCTCACAAGTGCCAGCCGGGACCCACCAGCCTCGCGTGTGTCAGCCGCAAGCCACGCAGGGGCTTCGAGCCACCGCACTAATCCATCGCTAATGGTCCAGAGAGACACATCCACCCCAGCCCTCGGGCATGGATGCCATGCTCGAGCTCTGGAGCCACCTGAACGGAGTATTTCTGATAGACCCTCACCTATACGAGACACCCAGCCACCGAGCTGGGCGGGCGGCCTTGCGGCGGGGACACCTGGAAGCGCCAGGGTGTCGGCCAGCCCCGGCCCGGGCTCCCCGCAGCAGCCCCTGCCCCGCGGGCCCCGCGACAACCAGCAGGCATTACAGGGAAGTGCCGCCGGCCATTCCAGGGGCTCTTGGGATTTACTTTCGCCTTCCCGTTTCCCCGCCCGCAGCGGGTGCCGAGCGGCGCCGCGCCCTGGCGGAAGTGTCGGGGCCGAGGCCGGCGCTGAGGAGGTAACGCCGCCCGGGGCCGCGGGCCGGGGCTGCCGCGGGCAGGGGGCCGGGGCCGGGGATCGGGGCCGGGCCGTCCCGCCGGGACAGCTGGAGGGGCCGGGCTGGAGGGGCCGCTCTCCCGGCTGGGGGGACACCAAGGGGACACCGGGGCAGCGCGGGCAGCCGCTGGCCCTGAGGGCGGCACAGCGCGGCGGGACCGGGCCGGCGGCTGCTCCGGCGCTTTTCCCTCAGGGACAGCCCTCTCCCAGCCAGGTTGGGACGGGAGTTGAGCCGCAGCAGCGGCCTGACGCCTGCAGGAGCCAGCTAAAAGGCAATAGCGGTGTCGCAAACGTGGCTTGCCGTCCGGGCTGGCTTTTGGAAGCACCCACAGCGGTGTGACCGCGGAGCGGGGACTGGGATGGGGCAGTGCTCTCTGGACGGGAGGATTCACCCCTGGGTTACAGTGCAGAGGCACAAAGGGCATAAACAAAGCAGAGGGGTAGCCCTGGGTCACAGAATCACCGAATGGGTTGGGTTGGAAGGGACCTTTCCAAGGCCATCTAGTTCAACTCCTCTGTGGAGACTGGGAAATCTTCAACTCGAGCCAAGCCCAGTCCAACCTGGCCTTGAATATTTTCAGAGATGGGGCATCCACCACCTCTCTGTGCCAGTGCATCACCACCCTCAGGGTAAAAAATTTCTTCCTGATATCTAATCTAAATTTACCCTCTCTCAGTTTAAAACGATTTCCCTTGTCCTGCCTGTTTAGAGTGGCCTGTAACAAGAGCTCAGGGCCCTGTGAACAGCCTGGGGACCAGGACCTAAAGGAGAACATCTCTGGTTGCAGTGGGGCTTCAGTCCATGGGAGCATGCCAGAGCCAGGACTGCTCAGTGGTCCCTGGAGCACTTCAGTCATTTCACATTTTGCCAGCTTGGCTAGTCAGAGGCACAGGGACTGAAACTCTGCTTCAGAGTATGTTTGGACTATAAAATGAATGGACTCCAGTGGAAAATGAAAGTAAAGCTTGGTGAGCTTCTTTCTTTGGGATATGGTGTCCCACTGTGCTGTGCTTTACAGAGAAAGGGTAAACGTCTCAAAGGCTACACTTGCTTTAGCAACATCAGCACTGCTCTAAGAAATAAGAGTAAATCCCCATAAGTCTGTTGTGCTTGTGCTGTAGCACTCCCCTGGCATCCCTTACGGTGTCTGAGCTTGCCTGTGTGATTTTGTAGGGCGCTGAAGATGGCAGGCAGCTCCCCTTCATGGACTGGCAGTGCTTACCTGTTCCTTCAGTCCACCTGCAAGACCATCGCGCTGCCGTCCCTCTACGAGAGCTCCCAGAAGAAGCCTTGTGTGTTCAAGGCCCTGAAGCTGGCATTAGCAGGTACCCATCCTCTGGTATCTTGGTGTGCAGTGCCAGGCCTTTCTTTAATCTCACCCTCATGGGTAAGGAGAGCTCATTCTCACTCTGTTTAGGAAAGGCAGTAAAGTGGAGGAAGCTCAGCAGAGGTTCACAAGATGGTTGGGGGCTGGAGTACTTTTCCTGTGAGGAGAGGCTGAGGGAGTTGGACCTGTTGAGCCTAGGGAAGAGAAGGTTTCAGGGGAGCTACCAATAGCCTGCTGAGAGCTGCGGGACACCCTCTAGTTTTTATAAATTCCCACACTTCCCTCTTGGTTTAACACACTTTTCCATCCCAGAGGACTTTATCACAAAGAGAATTCAAAAGTTCCTCTATTGCAGGCTTGTTGTGGATGGGTATTGGACTAATTACCAATATGGCTGGGCAGGACATGCCTGAGCTTGTGTGGCCCTTGCTGCTTGACCAAAAAGGGGCAGCTGTGGTGATTTCACCTCAGAGACACTTTTGGCTGGCTGGATGTTGCAGCTGGGTGCTTGGAGACAAGTCCAGACATGCAGGAGTTCAGGTTTACCTTTGGTGGAGAAGCTTTAAGGCGATGGTGAAGGAAAGGAGTTGGTTCTGATGGAGAGGTTTGGATCCAGAGCTTTATTCCTGGCCCACAGGCCTCTGAACGCAGTAACAGCTCCAACAGAACTCTCAAACCGTGTGGTTTGCTCACCCTTTTACCTGGGGGAGAGGGGGAGGGAAGGAACACAGGGATCACCAACCAGGTACGGGAGGGGAGGTCTCAAGGGACAAAGGACACCTGGACAGCCCAATGTCCCCCCAGGGGTAGGGGGCATCTTTGAATCTGCCCAATCACTTGATGCCCTTCTGGAATGCCAGGATTGACAGACAATGCTCAGCAGGCAGCAGGGGAGGGGGAGGGAGAGGTGACTAACACACCTAGCAGGGAATTATCATGGGAGGAACTGGGTCTCTGAAGTAAGTCCCGAAATCACAACACAACAGATGGGTGTGGATCTGGGCAGGCTGGCTCATGGCTGGACTGTGACTGTGCTCCCTTGTCCCTGGCAGACTCCACTGGCAGCGTGAATGGCGTGGACATGCTCAAGGTGCACTGCAGCCACCCCCACCTGATCGTGCAGCTGCGGTTCTGCAGGCAGGAGAACTGCCGCCGCTTCCTGCGCAGCTACCGCGAAGGAGCGCTCCAGAAATCCCTCCAGAGCCACCTCCAGCTCTCCTTGGCCACAACCACGGTGCCTCTGGAAGTGGAGCTGAAGGCTGGCAGTGAGCACCTTGACAAGATGCTGAAGGATGAGGATCGCTGCCTGGAGTGCATCTACAGAGAAAAGGTGAGTGGGAGAGGGAGGGAGGATGGACAGCAATGAGGAGGGGCGGCACTGGGCTTGCAGAAGTGGCTGCAAATCTACTTCTGATGCAGCATGTCAGGTTAACAAACTTCTCAATCCTTCAGCTCTTTACTCTAACATGGAGAAATAGCTCTGGCCTTGCTCAGAAAAGAGCTGTGCACTTTTCTGGAAGGGCAGCGAAGTAACCTAAAGCAGCCTGCAAAAATCCTGCTAACTCTCTGTGCCTTCTATGTATAACAGCTAGTGTGGCTGTTAACCCCACTAAGACAAGGAGTTCTAGACAGTGCTGCTGACAGCACAAGTGTGCCTCAGTACAGCTGTGGGGCAGGCAGAGAGGAGCAGCCCTGGCTGGAGCCATCACTGCTCTGCACACACAACACCTCCTCCCAGAGGGTCAAAGGTAACTGCCCCTGGAAATGAGCAGTGGAATTGAGTACAAACACTGCACATCGCACCAGAAACTTGTGTCAGAATGGTAACACACAGCACCTGCTGCCAGCAGGAGTAGGCTACCCCTCTGAAGGCAAAGTCTCTCTCATCTGGCATCTGGCTCATTGCACACTTTGGCACTAGCACTCTAATCCTGCTTGCAAGAACCGTGAGATCTTGTCATCTCACTACAAGGCACTTGACATGATTAAACTCACTGACTTGTTCCCCTCCTCTCTTTTCCATCTGGAACTTTAGCTCTGGTTCCTCTAAATGGTCCTGAGAAACAGGCACTCACTAGCAATCAGGAATATTAGGCACAAGAGCACGTTTTTCCAGGTTGCTTTTCTGTAAGCACAGAGAATAAACCCAAACCTTTCATCTCCAAACCAGACAACATGTGATATCCCATACTCTGTGAACTGTGCCTTGCTGCTCCTTCCCTGTGCTGAACTAGCTGATTGGGCAAAAGAAATGAGCTTATTCTCAGTTCCCCAAAAGTGACTCAGTCTGACCCTGCCTAACAGTGCAACAGGCAGAAAGATGGGACACAGCCTTCAGCAGCTGAGAGCAGTGCTGGGTACCTGCTGTAAGTGGGCTAAACAGTGTTTGCCTCTGATTGAGGCACAGCACTGCCAGCTTTGACTCTTCCCATGTGCTTTGCCTTCTTTCCTCCTATTCTCATTACCTGCTTTTTGGAAGTCAGACTAATTTTCTCTTGGCTAGTGAAAAAACCTGGCTTGGTGAGGAGCCAGGAACAACAAACCTTAGGGAGCAGAGGGGCAGAGAGAGAGAGAAGGTGGGTAACAGGAGCTGCCTGCTTGTGTGGCCATGAGCTGTTGGATCAGATCACCCTGTTCTGTGGGTCTCATCCTCACAGGGAGTTGGGAGAAGCCTGCTGCCCTTGCAGAGGGCTGCTGGAAACTAACGAAGATGTGCTAGAAGCAGTTGCACAAAACTAAGTGTTTTGTAAGTGTAAGCACTCACTGGTGCAGGTGAGAAACCCAGGGGGGAGAGATTGTCTATTTCATATCACATTACAGATTCAAATCCACTCACAAATGTGATATTTCATATCACATTACAGATTCAAATCCACTCACAAATCCACAGCCGTCCTGTTACAGCCACAGCTCTACTAGACCACCTCACTGGGCTGGCTGACAGCTCATGCTGTATCTCATTGCTTCTGTCTTGACCTCAGCAAGCTCAGCTTTGCAGCTGGTGGCCCTGACAGAGTCACTGATGCTGTTTGTGTTACAGCCTGACCGCCTGCCAGACGAGGAGATCACAGAGCTGGAGGAATGCCTCAAGAGCCTGATGCTTCACCAGAGCACCAACAACAATGTGGCTGCAAAAGACTGCACATCTCTGAAGTCCCCATCTCAGCCTCATCCCCCTCAAGGCAGCTCCCTTCCCCCACAGCTCACCTTCATCTTTCAGGGACAAAAGTTTGGTGAGTAGCTAGAGCTGACCAACAGAGCCCTTGGTCTGCCTCACAGCCCAGCAGGGAGAATTATCATCACTACATATTGGGGTCTACCTCAGATAAACCAAGGATTTCCCAGCATCCCATAAGAAAGGAATTACAGTAGTCCTAAGATATTGCCATGATGCTTCACATCAGGCTTCCACCTGTTTTCTTTTGTGGGGTGGCGCAGAACCAGACGTTTCAGACTCTGTGTCCCTTCCACATTCCTCACAACTTAAAATTAATAGTGAAAGGAGGAATATAGAGTATTTTTCTCTTCTTCCATGTCACTTGGTTGAGGTGAGTTAATAGTGTAGATTGGATCAGACTGGGGAATTTACTGTGGATACCCTCAGCCCTGCTTTCAGACAGGACTGATTTATCCAGGCTCCTTCAGTTCACCAGCTGGCTTTGGGGTCTGTCCCTACAGGGAGCTTTCAGAGAGTCTCAATAGCAGAATCAGCTTGAGATAAGCTAGATCATTTCTGAGCTTGCTTAAGCTGTGTATAGTCTCCAGTGCTAAACAGCTGAGGAGAGAGCTCCTGTCAGGATTCCAGTGTTTTGAGGATGTTTAGGTGGGGAACAGGGGACTTTGTCAGAAAGGCCTTACCAAGCTGCCTATGAAAGGCTAAAAAACAAAAAAGAAAAACAAAAAAGAAAATGGACTCTGGCAAACCACAGGACAGTTTTGAGAGAAAAAAAAAAGAATAGGCCTTGCCAAGCTTGCAGGGTAGGGAGAAGCCCAGCTGCTTTGTTGTTGTGGGAGGATTTCTGTAAGGGAACAGCTTGGCAAGGCAGAGAGCTCTGACTCCCTGCTCCACAGAGTGCTGACCAAACCTTGAACTGGCCCCAGCTGCATCACATCAGCCGTGAACCTTCTGTGTCTTACCTGGCCTCTGCCCCTTTCAGACAACAGAACAATCACACCAGATGACCACCAGAAGTTTGCCAAGTCCGTGTCCAAGAAGTGGAAGCAGGTGGGTCGCTCCCTGCAGAGCTCCTGCCGCGCCCTGCGCGACCCTGCCATCGACACCGTGGCGCTGGAGTACGAGCGCGAGGGACTCTATGAACAGGCCTACCAGATGCTGCTCAGGTTCATCCAGTGCGAGGGCAAGAGGGCCACCATAGCCCGGCTGGTCACAGCCCTGGAGGAGAACGGTCTTGTCAGCCTGGCTGAGGAGCTCCTGGGCCTCCATTCCAGCGAGGAGTGCTCCTAGAGCCCAGGGACAGTGCCATTGCTAAGGGCTTCCCTGCTTTAGCTACTGTAGGAAACTGCTGCCAGTGTCTGGGAATGTAAAGTCCTGAATATCACCACAGGTTTCCATCGAGGTGGAAATGCTCAGGGGAGAGGTTCTGTGTTTGCAGAAGCCAGCATGGACCTCTGATTTGCCTTATTTCATTGTGTTTTCAGAAATATAGCACTACCTTCCTGTGAATGGTGAGAGGCTTTCACCCTGACTACCTTCAGGACTGTGACAGGGAAGCAGCCAGACAGAGAGCCCTAGGGGAGAATTAGGGAGAGGAGAAAAGCAAGCAAGGCTTCTCACAGAATTTCTCTGGGAAGCAGAAAATGCCACTGCTTCTCAGGCTGTGTCCAGGGCCATCATCTGGAGAGCTGCAATATATTTTTACATTGAAAACATTTTTGCCCTCAGCCATGATATCAAGTAAAGAAAAAGGAGAAAGTAAGGAAATATCAATTTTACGTTATTTTCCTTCTTTGTTTGAAGAACAAAGAACATTCATGGCCAGAGTATCTGTTCTGCCCTGCTCTGTTACAGCTCCCTCCCACCTCTCACCACCTGAAGGCTTTCCTTCTACCTGGGACAGCCACAGTCTTTCACAGGGCAAAAGATTGCTGCTGTACAACAAATGGCAGACGCTGAACAAACAACATGGACAAACTCAAATTCAGACAATGATTGTCAATATTTTCTCATCTGTGGCAGACAGTAATACTGTTGATTGGCTCTTGCCTGCCAGCCTGAGGGAGCCTGCAGCTGTGGAAAGCCAAACACAGTGCTGGAAGGAAAAGAGTCTCCTCATCAGCAAGGTGCCTGTGGAGCCTGGTTTGGAGCTGCTCCCTCAGGGCATTGCAGCATCAAATGCCATCCTCTGACCACAGAGCTGAGCCATCAGCACACCCAGCTGGCTGCTCTCACCTCCTGGCCACCCTCAGCCTGCTGGGCCCCTGGAGGGAACAGCTCACCCTGCTGTGTCCCACAGGTGGCAGGAGCTACAGAGAGCCTTTCCCTGGCACTGCTGTCACTGTGTGACAATCCAACACCAGCTGCCACCGTGCCTGGATTCACCTGCACTGATTTTTAGGGTAAAAATGGTTTAAGAGACAAATCTCCCAAACCCCAGGGCTGACTTCTGCTTTCAGTTCCTGTGGGAGAAGCTGAGTGTCTCCTGGTATGTCAACACAGCAGCTGCACTTCTGCTGTGACAAAGCACAGAGCAGTGAGTGTCTGGCATGACATGGCTCCTGTGAAGCACAAAGGCAGCTCAGTTACCTTTGCCATATTCCCAGTGCTTTCCTGATAGGTTTTTACTGATACTATTCCATTAATTCTATCCTTTCTTTCCCTTCCCATCTGTGGCAATAGCCAGTGGGCTGTGTGCAGAGGGGGACTCTGGCCACACACACCAAGTCTGTGTGCACATGACAATATCAGGCTGCTAGCAGCCATGGTAGGAACAACTTTGAGGCCTTTTAAACCACAACTCACATTTTACTGTTTCCCTGGAGTCAAAGCTGTGACTCAGTAAGGAGGAACACAACCTCAGATTCAGGTGTGGGCTCAGATCCAAGCCCCTGGGGCTGGAGACATTCCCATACCTTCTGCTGGAACAGCTGAGCATCAGTCACTGGGGACCTGGAAGGGCAGGATTTAGATGGCCTGCTCTGAGCCAGCTGGGGTCAAATGAGCTGAGTATCCCATCCTCAGTGTAAGCCAGGGAAACATGACTTGTTTTCTGCAGATTTTGAACCCCTGAGGTTACATACAAAACCAGGAAAGGAGGGGGTTATGTATGGGGAGAAGGTTTTCAGGTGTGAGTGAATCTGTTTTCATCTTGCTCCTACCTGCCCAGGAAGCAGAACTTCATGCAGACACCATCTCTGCAAAGACTGTGGCTCCATCACCTTTTATTAAGCCATTTCATATCAGTGCCATTGCAGTTTCATCCCCTCCATTCCTGCTCACACATCCCACCCTCTCCCTTCCAGTAGTACCAGTGCTCTTCCCAAAATGAAGCAATGACCTCTCTGACAGTTTTGCTTTTGGGACCAACACAGTGGTGCTGATCTTGCCTAATTTAGGCTGCTCTGGATCCATACCTCAGAGTCTTTAGCTTTCCTGCCAAATCCCAGCTGGGGAACTCTGTTTGGCAGAAACCCACCTGACAAATCATATTTAAAAAAATTTAAAAATCAGAAACTTGAAATTTACTTTAAGAGCAAGAGAGTTTGCTCTTGATTTTGCAGAAATTAATTTTTTAAGAAAAGTAATTGTTGTCATATGCCATATGCATATGACCTTGTTTTTTAAGAAAAGAAGGTCACATGCATAGCCTGCTGTCTCATTTGCAATTAATTTTTCTAAGCTCTCAGACGAGCTATGTGTGCACAAGTTGCACATATAGTTACAAGGCAGCCACTGAGTAGTGACAATTACTAGTTTTTGTAGCATCTGTTTATGCTCAAAATGAGCAAATCTTATTATTCAGCATCTACTTCAAGTCCAGAAAACTTTTTACTGCTGTTACTGTTTTGCAGAGGACTAACCATGACTGCTTTCTTCTGAATGTAAATGTTTTCTTTCTGCCAGTGACTGGCATGTGTATTTCCTCTTAGATATTCCCTGTCAGAAGTGCCATTAAGTGCTGGAGCCCCTGGCAACCTTTCTGGAATGTTTAATCTCCAACAGCATTCACAGGTGCCTTCATTGCAAAGACTTGAAGGAAAAGGGTTTTTCAGTGACATTCCATGGTGAAACTGTCTCCAGCACATGGCATGGTTTGGGACATAGCAGTGGCTGTTTCATACCTCCTTTTCCATGAGCAGTCATCATCGTGGTGGGATATAAGCCATGGACAGTGCTGCCGCTGGAGAAATTGGCCTTATCCATATACTGAGATATATCTGTGAAAAAGAAAAAAATCAGGGGTCATGCTAGTGTTTCAGAACCAAACACAACATTAAAAGCAAATAAAGGTGCTAATTAATTCCATATAAAATCTAAACCAGAAAAAACATGGAACAAGCAGCAGAAATCAGGCCAAAATGTGCTTACAGAAAGAGATCCAAGAGGGCTTTTTTTTCTGGTACAGATTGTTTTTGTCATAACCATGTTTCAGGTTTGAAGGAGCCTCCATTCATTCTGCCAGAAGGAATAAAAGTTCCATCCAAAGGAGAATTTGAATGATTTGTTTTGGCATAGCTGACCTACAGTGTTCAAACAGATGATAACAAAGAGGAGAGTGAAGTTAAAATGCTCTCCAGATATACTTTGACATGAGGCATCTGATAGAAGCAAACCTGACAGATCCCCTGATACAAAAGTGTCTCAAAGGAAAAGAGACAATTTTGCCTCTGTTTAATTTGCCTTTAATTTCAGAGGCAGGTTCAGCATTAAGGAGCTGTCCTGCTCTCTGGGTCACTGTCTCCCCTCTGTGTTCCCAAGGAGTCACACCTGGCAGCTGCCCACAGATTGAAACCAGGAGTGAGCATGGGCAGAATGAGGAGCCTCAAATTCACTCAAATTGCTGATCTAGTTAAACTGAAAATTCTGGTGAACCTCTGGTACTGTATCTGGTATCCTTAAACCAAGGAGGTACAAGAAGAGGGATCAGGAGGGTTTGTGAGTCTGACCCACATATTGGAGTGTGTGCCTGACACTGGTGCTGTACACTGGACAGGGGGCTGGCCATGTGTCTTTTGTATGGAGATGGACTCAAACACTGAAGCAATTTAAGGCCTAGAGTCAAAAAATAAGTATTTTTTTCCTTTGGATTGAATTTTAACCCCCCTGAAGGGAGCTGGCTGTACATCTCTAATACAAACCTGTATGAGATGTGTGGTTAATGTCTCTTAGTTTTCAGTGGAAAAATCCCTTGCTGACCATCTGATTCCAAATTCCCATGATATTCAGCGTCAGATCTGGATCAGCTATGGACTGCAATGCCAGGTATACTTGGGTCTAGGGCATTCAGCCTCCAAGGAATTGTCTTTTACAGAAAAACCTCTTTGGTATCTATATTTTCCCCCATTCTATTTTATAAATAAATATATACTTTTGATGAAACTGCCTCAGAGACTTTCACTGAACACTTACCTGCAGTAGTAAGAGAGGGGTCACTGAAGTTCTGGCCACGTTTGGTGATCACCAGCTCCAGAGCAGCATCCAGCCTGAGGGTGGCTGCCCAGCAGGGCTCTGCCCAAAGTCAAACATTTCTCCTGACATGCCAGGGCTGGTCCTACCTGCAAGGGATCAGCTCTGATTACAGCACCAAGCCTCTGGTTTGTTCAGTTTCCAGTGACTGCTTTGATGAGCCTTTTTCAGCCAGCATGGCCAGAAGGGGAGGTTTGTCCCAGCCCTGGCACCTGGAGGAGCTCAATGTTTCCTCCAGTGCTGTTGGATACCTGGGGCTCCTCCGAGGCCACAGCACCTCTGCCATCTCAAGTGCCTCACTCCCAGTGAGCTCTCCTCTCCCTCAGGAGGGGAGCCAAGGAGCTGGGATATGAAACCTGCCCAGCTTTGCACAGGAATCCACTGGCTGACCTGAGAGCTGAATCCAGGGAAACTCCTTTTGCATGAACTGGGGCAGAGATGTATTTTACCCTGAATCTCTTAAATCTCAAACACTGTTTGAAAATCACAAGATCAGCCCTTCTTTATCTACCACAAAGCTGAATTCCCAACTGCATGGCAAAAAAAAAAGTGGGGTTTGGTATTTTTTTTGTTTTCAAAGGGACCCTTGAATCAGTCTCCAGCCTCTGCACTGCTCAGCTCCCACATCCTCCCATCATTTCCCTACTATGAGAAAAAGAAACAACCCCCAAATGGATTTAATTTCTGAGCTAAACCCAACCTCTGTTTTTCAATTTGACTCCTTGCAGAGGTAAATACTCGCAAGGAAATTAAAAAAGCCAAAGTATAGAAGAAAAAGAAACTCAGAAAAATTAGTTCATTTCCTAGTGAAAAAAGTTAGGGTGGAAAGGCAGCAAAGAAAAACCCGGCCTTTTAGCAGAATTGGTGCAAATCCCCAACCTGGCTGAGCGTTCTCCCTCTGGACACCTCCGCCCTGTCCCGCCGGAGCCATCGGCGCTCCCGGGCCCATCACGTGTCGGCCTTGGCCGGGCCCCGGCTCTGCCGCGATCGCCGGGCTCGGCTCGCTGCGGGGCCGGGGCTGCGCTCGGGGCCGCCCCGATCCCGGCCCCGATCCCGGTCCTGATCTCAGCCACGATCCCAGCTCCGCTCCCGGCCGGATCCCAGCCACGATCCCGGCGCTATCCCAGCTCCGCTCCTGGCTCCGCTCCCAGCCCCGATCTCACCCCCGATCCCCGTCCCAATCCCAGCCCCGTTCCCGGCCCGGGCAGCTCCGCTCGCTGCTGCGGGAGCGGCCCCGGCCCCAGCGCTGCCCGGCGCCCCCAGGGTGTCCCGGGCTCCGCTGGCAGGCTGAGCTGAGAGCCGGGCGATGTCTCTCATAACCACATCCAGATGTGCCTGCTTGGCAGCCCGCTGCACACACGGCACCGCGGGGACGCGGGATCAGCGCTATCGAATGGGCTGTAAGTATCTATTGAGTGTGTTTGATCTCAGGGGATTGGGGAGGGTTGTGCCGCGAGCAGGGTGGACTGGAGTCTGTCCTTACTGCTTCCCTTTGCTCCCAGCTTTTCTTTTTGCCTTGCTGCTCTCGAATTGTGTTAAATGCGGCAGCCCGGCCCGTGATGGTTAACACGCAGCAGGCTCGGCTGCAGGCTCCAGCCCCGACACATCTGCTTTACTCTTTACTTTCCAAAGAACTTTCTTTGAATGTTTAGGTTGTTTTTAAAGAAGTGTGGGGCTTCTTTAGACAATGCCTGCACTGCTCTGAGACAGGGTTTCCTTCTCTCAACCACAAACATGTCCCAGTGGTGGTATGTTACATTTACAAGCCATTCTTCATCAGTAAAAGGACATGAATCTCCCCCATGTTACACTCTGGCATGCTGTGAGCAAAACATGGGAATTTTCAAGCTCTCTAGGGTCACAAAGATAGAAGAGAATTTAGCCCCTGTGAATCATCAGGCAGTTACTGATATTTTTAATAGCTTTTGTGTAGATTTTGAGAAACTTATGTGTTGGGTATAATCTTGAAATTAGTGGGGCACATCAGCATGTACTCTCTGTTTCTACCTCGAATTAAATTTTCAACTCCCTATCTCACCATCACCCATGGATGTAACAACACATCCATGCTACTGCACTGCAGTTGCTTGGGTTTGGGGTGCATTGGGCAGATTATCTATCAGAAGAGGGTCTGGGAGCTGAAGAGCTGGTGAGCACTGCAGCCTGGGGAGGGCTGGGAGAGGAAGGTGTTTGTTTCAGTTTCTTACTCCTTCACAAACCTGCAAGGCTTTATTCCCCTCCTGGGGCCCAGAAAAAATAAGATTTGGAAAAGAGACAGCAGGTTCCTTACCTTGGCTACTCGGGATGGATCTGTCCTTTCCCCAAAGCACTCAGGGTGTGAGTTGAGCTGCTGAGCCCCCTGCACTCTGAAAATCAGACTGCCAGCAGCAGGACTGCATCTGCAGGTAGGACAGTACCTCTGGAGGCTGCTGGGCCTGCAGAAGGTCATTGGGCTTTACCTTCTCCTGCCTTGCAGGTGGCTGAGCACCTGTTAGAGGTGTGGGGCTGTGCTCAGGGGAGCTGCAGTTTTCCGGTTTCCCAGCTCCTGGGGCCCAGCCCAGGTGCCGGGCGCAGCTCAGTGCTCAGCTCGGTGCTGTGCAGGCACTGCCCCCTGCCCGGGAGGGACAGAGAGCATCAGGCACTGCCTTAAGGAGCTGCAGCCCCAAACTGTGCCCTGAGTGCTTACACTGGGCCAGCAGGGCCAGGGGAGCAGGGGCAGCTCCTTCCCTGAGCTCAGTCCTGCAGGCAGCTGCTCCTGCCCAGGCTCAGCAGGGCTCCCATGGGCCTGCAATCCCCAGCAAGGAGGGGCCAGTTCCTCTCTGGGACCCCTGCATGTGCAAACAGACACCTCAACAGCCTCACACAGCAGCTCTGCAGCTCCTCTGTGTTAGGGTTTCTACACTTCATAGAAGTTTCTGACTTGGTCGGAAGGTGAAGGAGGCAACCACAGCAGCCATTTGCAACAGTGACCCAACGTGACTGGCATTGCAAAGGGAAGGCTGGCAGTGCCAGCAGGAGAAACTGCAATAAAATGGGACCAGCCAGCTGGGAAGCTGATCAAACTACATATTTGAGGACTGAGGCAGGCAGATAGATAAGGCACCCTGTCCTGTAACAGCATGGATTTCATCCATTTTTTGCTCTGGCCTGGAAAAAAATTCAAAAATGCCCTGAAAAGCAGCTCTGACAGGAAAGTTGGAAATTGTCTTTGGACCAAGGCCTGCATTTTTGTTACCTGCTTCCTCAGTATTTGACTCAACAGAGCTTTTGCCTCCAGGTGCTGCAGCAAATACCAGCAGCAGTGATGCTGCAGTGCTGCACTGGGCAGCTGCTCTCTCTCCCTGTGCTCCCTTGGTTTTATGTTCAGGAACCCAGTTCCTGGGACAGCTCTGAAGACACTCAGCTAATTAAATCCTACAGCCTGCTCTCAGTTTGTTTATAGACTTCAGAACTTGTAAGCAGTTTTGAGTTTTTATCTGGTAAGGCAGCACAGCAAGTTTTGGTTATTTCATTTTTCTAGGGCTTTGCACTTACCAACATGCCAAAAGGGGTCTTTGTATTTCAGCCACTTCTGTCTTCTAATCAAGAAGATCAAATCATTCAGCATCACTTTATGATCCTGTAACTCCAAATGAAGCCTCTTCACAAGCACCCTGAAATGCAGAGAGGGGTTGTTCAACACCAGGGCTACTTGAAGCCATAACTTTGATAAGGTTACTGACCTCATCAATAGATAAGGGTCATCTCATCTATGAGTGGGGCAGTAGAAAAGCAAAGAAAGAAACAAACAAACCCCAAACCCATGGAGGAATAAAGGCCATTACATGACACCCAAACATAGAAGTGGAACACAGCTTCTTCCCCTGCTCCAACACACAGAGCCACTCTTCCCCTTTAAACAGTTCAGCAAGACATTTAAGTTAAAGTGGTGCAGGCACGGGAGTCAAAGACTCTCGCAGCCCTCAGGGGTGCAGGGGATGGGACCAAGGGTGTCAGAGGAAGATGCAGCCCCCAGGGCTGCAGGCAGTGCAGAGTTCTTGGTGTCAGCATCCTGCTCTGGTGGGTGAAAGCTCACCTGCACATGTCTGTTCCACACAGCCCCAGCTGCAGCATGGGCAGAGGGAATGTCATCATTGCTTCTTGAACAGGGTCAGGATTTTTCCTGAGGCGGAGGAACCAGGTGAGGAGGATCCTGTGAGTTTGCTTTGCTCTTGCTGAGGGAATCTGAGTGGAAAAACTCCTGTAAATGAGGCAGGAGAGGGACACGTGTGCAGCCTTTTCCCCTTGCAGGCCAGAGCTGAGGCAGGTCTCAGTATGCAGCACTGGCTGCTACAAGATGACTTTGTTCTTGTGGAATGCATTCAGCAAACATGAAATGAAAACAAATATCCCAAACCTGAAGCATTGCCTCAAAGTATCCCCACCACCAATATTGTATAATCTTCTCTGATGATTACAAAAAATCCCCATCAAACCCATCAGTGCTGGATCCCCCACACTTTCTGTAGCTCATTTTATGGACAGACAGATGGGACACCTCCATCTGCAGCCACAGCCCCACACATTCCATGGGCACACAGTGTCCCTCTGCTGCCCAACCCAAACCTACCTGTGGCAGCTCCAGCATCAGCAGTGAGGGGTCAGGAGGGAGCTGGGAGCACTTCCCTGCAGCAGGGAGAGGCTGATCCAAGGACACCCCACAGCTTGGTGGGATGGATGTTTCTGTGAGCCAGGCTGGGATGAGAGGGCAGCAGAGCTCATTGCTGGTTTTGTGCCCCCATGCTCAGTGCATCATGTTTTCAGCTTGATTATCTCAGCTGCTTTTCCCAGGGCTGGCTGGATCAAATAACCACTCCTCAAGGCACAAAGCAGTGTGCCAGAATCACCAAGGCTTCTTGACTGAATCTGAGCCCAGGATCCAGAGGACTTTTTCCCACTCTGGCCCTGAGCAGAAGTGATGGAGATGTGACGAATGCTGCAAAAAGAATTGCCAGGATGGGCTCAAGGTTTCATATCATTCAACTGGAAATGAAGGGCTAGCAATTTATTTTTTTTTATCATCACTTGACTGCTTTTATTGCAGCTGCTCTTGGCCATATTTCAGAATCCTCCTCTCAAATAAATGAAAACCAGGCAGAGGACTGGGCCCTCTGCCCTAGTGTGCAGCAGCACAGGTCAGACTCCTGCCTGGATGCTCATCAGGGTGCCATGCCCAGCTCAGGCCCCTTCCAGCTTTCCAGCCTTTCATTGTCTCTTGGGCTCTGCAGGCTGTGCCCCCCTGGTTCTTCCAGCTCATTCCCTATTTATGACTGCCCATCTTGCCATCTCCTCTTCCTGCTGCCCAGGTCAGCCCTCTGACATTGCTGGTGCTCAGCCCAGGACGGAGCATCCCCAGCCCCATTATCCCATTCAGACCCCATCAGGCCAGACTCAACCCCCTGTGTGTCCATCCCCACAGAGCCAACAAAAAGAGGGACAGCTGCCTGCTTTTCCAAGCTGGGAGGACACAGGAGGCACTGCTGGCAGCCAGGCCATTCCTCAAGGCCCTGAGTGATGCAGTTTGTAAGCCCAGCTCCATTTCAGGTCGGATGGAGGCTCCCCAGAGCAGCAGAGGAAGCAGAGGTGCCTCTGCCTCAGACCCTCAGGGATGTGCTGTGCTGAGAGACACTGCTGTGCTCTCATCTCTTTCCTTTGGCATCAGATATTTCCTGCTCACTTTGATAGTCCTGTAATTCTCTTCCCCTGGTGTCAAGGTGGATGAATAATCCTTTTGGCTTTAGGACATGCCAGAGCATCTGCCAGAATCATCAGTCCCTCTGTATTCGAGAGCAGAACAGCTTTTCCCACACTGACATCCATGGATAGAGCTTACACCACTGTGACAATCAAGGGTATTTTCCTTCCAAAGAAGGAAATACCTAACAAAGACTGGAAAATCCATATAATTAGATCAAGGAATGACTTCAAGGGCTGGCAACTTCATTTGAAAATGAGAGCTCTGTATTCAGCACTGAACTGTTTTATTTCAGCGTGGAAATCACTCTTTCAGATCCTTTACTTTCAATAAAAGAAAACACTGAGGAAAATCTGGGCTATCTGCCCAGGCTTGTAATAATTCAGGGTTTTTCTTGGCTTTTTCAAGGGCACTTATTGCCAGATTCTGAGATGCTGGCAGTATGGAGCTGCAAGCCATGGAAATTACGAGTTTCATGACACGCTCGTTTTATTCCAAACCCTTGTCGATAACATTAAACACAGGAAAAATCCAGGACTTTCATCCAGCTCCTCAATTACCATCTGAAGCCTGGCAGCTGAAATAAGATCAAACTTTTGCACAGAAAAGGAAAAAGAAATTTGCTGTGTTCTGTGAAGAAAGAGAGGGGACTTCAGATGTAAAATGCAAACCAACATCCTATACGTGTCAGGAGGGACTGTTCCATGAGGCTGAGCATGGTTCTGAGCCAAGCCACGTGGCAGAAAGAACATAAACAGAAAACAGATCCTGAATATTCTAAACATTTGTACAACAATTTACAAGAGATCTGAGAAAACTGTTCAATCCTGCTATTAGTAACAAAGTTATGCCAGTGAAAACATCTGCCTAGGAGAGGAGTGAAAGGTAAACAAAAAAAGCTAACAAATGAAGAAAAGCATCTGTCAGAGAGCAGGAAAAAGCAAGAAACAAGGCCTAAGGAAAAAACCCATGGTCATCAGGACAAGGCCAAAGGGATTTTAAATCCACCAGGAATGCAGAGAGCCTTACACCAAGGCATGGGTATGCTGTTTTCCAAAATAATGATTTCATAAATAATGGAGACAAAAAGAAAAAGGTCAGTAAACATTTTGGAGCTGCTTATCTTTTTCCCAAGATAAGAAATAGCATATGATGGTGAAATACTCTATTTCAACAGTACCTTGGAGCTGAAGCTAACCAGTAATGAAAAACCACAGTATTTAAATAATGATGTCCAAACAACATGCATCCAAGAATTTTAAAGGGTCTGGCCAAGAAATCAACTGGTGTAATAATTTTCTTCTTCTTAAGTCTTGAAATATTGCTTAGATATCACAGGTATTGGTACAAAACCACTGTTTTGTTACTTTGTTATTACAGACTCATCAATCTAATTTTGAGTTTGAAAACTTAACATTATGGCTGATACAAAATGGCTGCTTAATGAACAATTAGCAAGTGATCCAATCCAGGACAGTATCTGCTGAAAACAGATACCACCAAACTCTTACCAAGCATTTGCACCTTGTCCTATCACTGTATGCCCTTATTAAACATCTCTCTCCAGTTTTGTTTATCCCAGAAGTCATCTTTGGATATGATCTCAGCTAATTCAGGACAGAGAACTGAAATACCTTCACAGGCAGCTTCTCTTAGTACAGCACAGGCAAGAGAGAGCCACAAATCACACATGAACATGATACATTATTACTGGAGGTATAAAATTCTTGTGGGGAAATTTTCAGGTGGGGCTCACCTTCCTTCTTGCTGAGGACAGGTGATGGTGATGGGAATGGATCATGGGAATGATGATGGTCACTCATCTCCTCCTGGAGCAGCTGTGGGGTCCCTCTGTCCAGCTCTGTTGTGCTGCTGCAGGGAGTGGCTGCACCCACAGGGTGATGACAGGACCTGCTGCTTGCTGCCTTCTTACTCTTTCATTCTCATTTTGTTTGCAGTTGAAGAACTGATCAAATAAGACAGAAGATCTCCAGGAAAAGTGTAAGTGAGGAAAAATCCTGTATTTCAAAAGGTAGCTTCATCTATGATACATGAACAAAATTTTCCTAACACCATGCTCTGCCTTGCTTCTACATATTGGGATTTATTTCCCCACCTCTCACTTAGGGGAGTTAGGGTAATTTGGCAGAGGAAAAAAACCCATGGCCCCTTCTAACCTTATAAATGGAAGTTACTTACAATGGTTTAATATTTTATAAAGAATTCTGGCAGGAGAAAGGTCCTGTGTGAATTCCAGATTGTACCCAATGCATTCATTTTGAGTGCAAATCTCAGTGTAACAAAAGTTGGCTCTGTGTGCAGGGAAACACCAGCAGCACACTGCCATGAGGAGTCTGCCCTTCAGCAGTCAGCTCTGGGCCTCCCAGGTCAAAAAGGATAAAAGCAGCAAGTAATGGTTGTCAAGCTAGGGGGAAAAAGGTCATTATTTATGGGAGAATGGCATCATTCATAATTTTCCACTTTGCTTTTCCCAGTGAAATCTCTGAAATGACAAAGCATGTTCAGCAGTAAGGGATGCAGGATTTTGGGTTGTGCTCATAGGGTGGTTTTCAGGATGATGGACGATTGCTTAACCAAGTCTCAGAGCTGGCTGGCACTGGGATCAGCAGTAAGTTTGCAACCCCATGTGCCTTTTGACAAGTTTCTCAATGTCTCTGTGCTTGTGTGAGTAAAATGTGCTTTGCTGCTGGGTTTTTAAATGATGTTTAGTCTTGCCTGCCTGCTTCAGACCTGCCAAATCCTCACTGCTGACACACTCTGTGTTTATTTGCAGATGGGCAGTGGTGCCAGGCAGCTCAAACACAGCTTCTAGCAGCCCCAGGAACAGCAGAGAGACAATGAGAGTTCGCCTCAAAGGGGATGTGATCTGCACCCTCCTCCTGCTGGTGGCGCTTTGTTCTTTGCTCTACTCCCAGCTGGAACATTTGATCCCAGCAGGAAAGAAGGAGCCAGCACAGAACAAACCTCGAGTGGCACCAAAAACATTCTCTGATCCCAGAGCACCTCGGAGGCTGATGCCAGCAAAGGCAACTGCACCCAGACCCCGAGTTACCCCTGCCATGAGACCAACAGAAGTGGCCAAAACCAGGGTCCAAACCACAACTCCACCCCTGCTGACTGATTCTGCCTTCAACTTCAAGCTCTATCTCCTAAACAAGGACAACAGGAACTTCAATCTCCTCATTAACCAGCCCAGGAAATGCCAAAAGACACCGGGAGGTCCCTTCCTGCTCATCGCTATCAAATCCGTGGTTGAGGACTTTGACAGGCGTGAGATTGTCCGGAAAACGTGGGGCAGGGAGGGTTTGGTGAATGGGGAGCAGATCCAGAGGGTGTTCCTGCTGGGAACACCAAAGAACAGGACAGTGCTGGCAACATGGGAGACCCTGATGCACCAGGAGAGTCAGACATACCGGGACATCTTACTCTGGGACTTCATGGACACTTTCTTCAACCTGACCCTGAAGGAGATCCACTTCCTGAGCTGGGCTGCTGAGTTCTGCCACAACGTGAAATTTATTTTCAAAGGCGACGCCGATGTTTTTGTCAATGTGGAGAACATCGTTGATTTCCTCAAGAGGCACGACCCCACTGAGGACCTCTTTGTTGGGGACATCATCTACAACGCGCGTCCCATCCGCGTCCGGAAGAGCAAGTACTACATCCCCGAGAGCATGTATGGGCTGAGCATCTACCCCGCCTACGCTGGGGGAGGAGGCTTCCTGCTGTCCAGCTGCACCATGAGGAAGCTCTCCAGGGCGTGCAGAGAAGTGGAGCTCTTCCCCATTGATGATGTCTTTTTGGGCATGTGCTTACAGAGAATCAACCTCAAGCCCATTTTGCACGAAGGGTTCAAGACCTTTGGCATTGTTAAGCCTTCTGCTGCCCCACACCTGCAGACCTTTGATCCCTGTTTTTACAAAGACCTCATGGTGGTTCATAGCCTGAAAGTTGCTGAGATCTGGCTGATGTGGAACCTGCTCCACAGCCCACGGCTTTCCTGCACTCAGAAGAAGCAGGTGAAGAAGCCTTTCCAATGGAAGAAGAAAGCTCAGATAACAACACCAGCATCACCCCTCAGATAATGCAGACAGAGTGCAGCACACACAGCAAACCAGCCAAGAAAGGGAGCCTGGAACTGACACTGCCCAACAAACCAACTTTCCAAGTATTTTAGCACATGTTATTTACAGCACTAACAGAAGACAACAAACAATTGCAGGAATTTGCCCAAATTCCACATTTGCACATACATATCATGTGGGTCCTTGTGTACTAATGAGTCCAAATAATCATAACATATATATAATTTATTGTTATTTATTAGCATTATAGTAGTGCCTAGTGGGACAGTGTGTAAAAGCACATTGAAAAATGCAGCCCTTGGACATTTTTCAGCATGGTCAGAAGTGTGAGAAATGAAAGAAGACATAGAATAAGAACAGACACCAGGGAGCACAGGGATCACTGTCAACTTCCTGCTTGACTTGGACTCACTGAAAAATGACCAGACAGGAACTGGAGTGCAGGAAATGGAGTCCCCTTAGTGTCTGCTCAGATCAGATCACTGCTGCCTGGTTGGTTTTCCACAGGCCTTGTAAGAAGAGAACAACAAACAGCTCCTGAAATGGGGTCCTACAGTTGCAGTTCAGGTGGATTACAAGAAATCAAACTGGGTGCTGAGGCTGGCGTGGCTGGTGGAGCAAAGGACAGGTAAGTAGATGACTGAAAGGAGCAGACTAAAGGGCCTTAAGAGAAAGGACAAGAACTTCAAATTGATCACTTTGAATCTTGATTTGTCATCATTCTTCTCAGTTCAAGTATCTGCTCTACTGACATGCTCAAGATTCAGGGGACCAGTGGAACAGGTTTTGGCACTTCCCTGAGCTCAGGCTTTCTGCACTGCACTGACATTCACGGAAAATTCAGAAGTCATCAACGGTATTGGATCACTCTCAGGATCTGACCCAGATTTTCAGGAGGTTTGCATCTGGAGAGATCCTTTGGCCTCTGCTCATAAGCATAACCCCACACAGAGCTGCTGCTTGCATCACATTTGGGAGCTGCTTCAAACCAAAGAGTGCACTGGGCTGGTTCCTGCAGACCTTGGGCTGTTGCTTGGCACAGCCAGCTGCAGAGGGCAGCCAGGACTCTCATACTGCTGCAAATGTCATGTGAAGGGAGAAAGTTTTCAGACAAAAGGACTTCAGAATAAAAGTCCATCTAAATTTATTGCAAGAAATCAAAACCACACAGCAATCTTTCTGTTGGCTTTCCAAGGTTCAGTCAGGAGCTTTGTGAGTATTTTAAGCATCAGACAAGAACACTGAATTGCTCAGTTTTTCAAAGTATAGTCCAGACTTTGATGCATTTTGTTTTTCCCAACAGCAGACTACCTTAGAAGAATATACTTTTATCAGACATCAAACCAGAAGTGAACTCCTCTAAATCAGGGTTACAAAGCTGTGAAATTCATGGGACAAAGAGCCTGAATTCACCTCTGATACTGTGTTTGTTCATTCTTCACAAGTTTTTACCCTCTCAACAAAACTCCTGTCCATCAGAGAACCTCTCAGGATGGCACATCCACACAGCTTTAAAGGAAATTACAATCAGCCATAAAAGAAAGCCCAAAGTTCCTTTCCCTTGCACAGAGCCTGGAGCACAGCTGCATTTCATATCCGTGGGTGAGCTCCCTCCCTCCCTCCCTGCAGCACTTTGGGCTCAGTGCTGGTACTGACAATGCACAGGGAGAGCAACAGGCTGGCAAACAGCCCATGGACAGCAGCTTTACACATTGGTAATCTTCATCATGAGTTCAAGCCTTACAATAATGTATTTCCAAGAAAAATTCAGCTTTATAGAAATGGAAAGATTTCTACATTTGAGATATTTTCAGGATGTAATCCTGAAATACAAAATGTTCACGTGAGCTTCACAAGGAGCTTTGCAGGGTGTGGAACTAAGCCAAAGCCTCACTGGTAGGACAAAGTCACCCCTGCCCATGTCTGTCTGCTAACATGTGTGATACATGTGTGTTCATGAGACTGTACAGAAATGTATTACCTGGGAGTAGTTTACAGTTTGGGAAATTATTTATACCATCATTAAAAGACAGCATGCAGATGTGCCTCTCGTTGTCAGAGTGAGTTTGTCACGTACACCTGCACACATGTTGTAAGATTAAAACCACAGGGGTTTTTCATGAAGACAGTCACGTGAAAAATACATTATTCATTATTTTGGATAACTTGGTAAGTGTTTCCTTATGCTGGACTTATTTCAATGGCAATGACAGAGAAATAAACAGAGTTTACCTTGTGATTTCCTATGAGGCAGCTAGTCAGGTTCAGCAGTCCTCATTAAGGTTTTCCTTTTACACTTGAAGATGCAGAGGTTGGGTCCTCCCTCTATAATGTCCTGAGATCTGCAATCTATCCACAGCACAGCATTAATGAGTGCATTCTGTCCCAGATCAAAGCTGTTGTTCAGCATCTGTGTTGACACAGTCTGTGCCAGCACACACCCTGATGGCAGAAACAGAACTAGAGTAAACTGTTTGTTATCTTAGTCTATAGAACAGCTCACTTCTCTTATCCAGTGAATACCAGAGTCTCTCTTGATGAAAGATCCATCTGGTTTTGTTCTCCAGCCTCTGCTGCACGGCCTGTTTGACCTGGTTTAAGTTTCCATTTGCCTCTGCAGCTGAGCTGTAAGTTCACAGATACCACATGTGAGGATAATGCTCTGGGGAATGCTGAGGGCTGGGCTGTTACCCTTGCAGTTCACTGAGTTCTGCTTACTGCTACAGTAGGCAAAGGCTTTGGCTTCACCTAGGCTGGAGATTGTTTCCTTAAGGATGGGGGTCTTTTCAGAAAACCCTAAGCCCCAGCTATTTATGATAACTGGCAGGAAGGAGCCTCTACCAACCCTTCTGATGCATCACAGAAACCCAAACCATCCTTTTCAGAATGACATTCTGAGTAGGTTTTATTAACTGGCCCACTGAGTGCACCAGTCATACTTGCTATAAATATTTGCTTGGCAATTCTTTTCATGACTAACCCAGGACAAGAAAACATTAAAACAAACATTAAAACATCCTAAGTGGGTGCCACCAGTAGCACACAAGGCAAGCAGGCTTTCTCAGTATAAACTTCTGACACTAATACAGTACAGTAAGTTTTATGGAGTCCCAAGCATCCACACACAGTCAGGTTTTGTTCCTGCTGTACATAAGTGGCCAGATTTGGTCACTGCAATGAGCAGAGCTGGCTTGAGCCTCACATTCAGCACCTCCAAGTGCATCTCTGGACACACAAACTGGTAGGGAATGCCAAGATCCATCATTCAGTCAAGCCACTGCAGACTCAGACATCACACAAAAGAGAGCCAAAGAGGACTCTGAAGGAATTCACTATTAAAATCTTGTGCTTCCTGTCTGCAGCTTAATTATTCATCTTTGTACAGCAGGTTCTCAGAAGCAAACCTCAGCTGCAAACTCCAACAGTACAAAATAATCAAACAGCTCAGAGAACCTTCACTACATATCAGCACTGAGAACATTCCCTGGGGAGTGCTGAAAGACTCAGATCACAGAGAAAAGAAGTCAATCCCCAAGCCCAGCATGAAAAACTGCTGATTTCTTGGTTGTTCCTCTTGCAGCTGGACTTGCAAGTCTCAGCAGCCCAGAAAATCTGCCCACCACATTTCCCTAATGATGCCACTAACTGCAGTGACAGTTTTAAAAACCAGTAAAATTTTTAAATACAATTTTTCATTACTTTCTAGGCTTATGATCAGTAAGAAAACCATACTGAGGAATGAGGGGGGAAAACAAAGAGCAAAGTAAACCCAAAGGAAGAGCACAACTGAGTCCCTGCAGGAGTGACAAACAGCTCCCCCACCATTCCTGGCCAGCCCAATGCTCTCTCCAAACCATTCAGACTCAACTCATGGATCTTCTCTCTCCCCATCCCTTTCCCAGCCCATCTGTTGACAATCCATGGGCTAAAACCTGGGAAAAAACCCAACACAGGTTTGCAGTGGCAGCCTTGTCCCAGGGGATGCCTGGCCTGGGTGGGAATCAAGGTGTGACAGTGACAAATGGTGTCTACAGCCAGAGAAGCAGAAAAGGGAGGAATAATCTCTGTAAGCTCCCTACTTGTGGATGCAGCAGAGCTTACCCAGCAAGGGACAGGGTAAATTCAGAATTTCAGGGCTGCAGTTTTTCTGAGATGAGCAGAGGGGAAAAGGGAATACAGCAAACCAGGCTGGTTTGATAATTTAGTTGATTAGATTGCACATTGCATAATCATGCAGGGCTTTCTGTGATTGGTATTTTAACTAAATGTCTCTCTGAAGGATAATAATAAAAGAATGAAACTTAAGCACTCAGTGGAATATATATATATATATATGTAGTGTAGGTGTAAAGCATTAAGGCACTTAAAACCATCTTCCAGAATTGGAATATGCAGTACTTTAAAATAACTAAAGGAGTAAAATTTAAAGGGAAATTCATTAATGTAGGAAAAAGATAATGTTAAACCAGCCAATCCAGAACAAAAGTTACTTTAACAATGGTATCTTACACCACAGTGAGTGCCCAACTCTGCAAACTCCAGCTTACCTCTCCTGCTGTTTCAAGCACTCATTTTTTCCAGATCATGAGCAGAAATTATTTCACCTGTTGGAAAAACAGACATCCCCACAAACACAAGAGCTTGGGATGTGAGCTTTGGCAGATAAACATTTTAACAGTGACTTTATTAGTTACACCAAAAATTCACATAGGCAAAGAAGATGGTATTTAAGCTGCAACAGAGCCCTCCAAGGAACACATACACTGCCCCCAAAAATTCCCTCATGGGCTCTGCTTCACTGAGGCTATTCTTAATGCTAAAGAGTTACATCTTCAGTAAGATTCAACTTTCATTTCCCTTTGCTTTACTTCAGCCTTACCTTACCTCTCTGAAACAACCTGGTTCACACTTTATATGAAAAGGGCCACCAGAACTAACCAGTATTTTAACTCCACAGACACACAGTGAGGTATTTATCTCCTACATGTGCTGTGCCACGTTGTGGCTGACAGTCAGGCACACAGGAGGAGCCTTTGCACTGGTGTAATCAAGATTAAAAAAAAGGGTGTTTATCAGGCAAAAGTTGACACAAAAAAATTGTAACTAGCACGGAATAACATTTCTTGCATCGTAATATCAAAAATTATTCTGAACACAACCAGCCCATGGGAAATTGTGTCAAATCAGACAACTTGGTCTTTGCCCAAATACTCTGCAGAAAGCAAGCAGACAGGGCTTGGACACAACATTTCTTTCAAAGTAAGAGCCACACTGACTCACACAGGCAGATTTACTTGCAATGTACATTTTGAGCCACCAAACACAAAACCCTAACAGAAGTTCTGGCTTAGAGTCGTGAATAACAGGTTCTAACAGCAGGTAGAGAGTCGGTGTGAAGGGGGCAGCAACATCCTTGATTTCCCTCTGAAAACAGCAGCTGGCCCCTCACCTCCAGCCAGCCCCAAAGCAAAGATGAATCACCATCTCCTTGTAGTGCTAAAAGATTTTGTTTTAAACAGGTTGGATAGGAGCTCTGGAATTTGAACGATCATGATCACATGAACCAGTTCTCACACACCATATGATTAGTCTTTCAGGAAAAAAAAAAAATCTGTTTAGAATTAAAAATGTGGCAGTTCCTGGCAAGAGAAGATTGCTTTTTCTTGTCAGAACTGCATTTTGGGGAACAGAGTTCTAGTATTACACAGCAGCACTTATCTATACAGCACTGCCTGGAACCATCACAGGAGCCCAGGGAGTGCTGGAAGGCTGAAGAACAGGTGAGGAAATGTCAGCTTCACCTCCTTAAAGAAGAGCACAATGATCAGTTTTATCAAGTATAAACAAATGAAATACTGTGGACAGTACTGTAATATTCAAGTTAAGCAGACACACACACAAACTCCTCACCTCTTTACAAAGGAAAACAGCACACATCACAAGAGGATCAATGCACTACATGTTTTATTAAAAATGCAATTGTATTTAGCTTTATATCAAACAGTTTTATCACATGAATCCAAAATGGTGGACCAATGCACATGTTGCCAACATGCAGGATCAGTATCAAACCACACAGGATTATCACAAGGAACAAGGCCACCTGCAAAATGCAGCCCAAATCTCTCAGCTCCTTTGGGAGGGGGCAGAGCTGGCCCCTTGCCCCTCTGAGCAGCCCTTTGCCCAGAGGAGCTCTTGGTTCAGGTGACCTGCCTCACCCAGCCTCCCTTCCTGCCACACTGCCAGCCTTGCCTTGCCCTCTGCTCCTTCCTCTCTTCTGATTCAAACCCACCAACAGTCTCCTCTACCCATTCCCGAACTTCTCATGCCAGCAAGTCCTCAAATGCTGCACAATGCTTCTCTAATGCATCAGCTCAGGAACAGCTTGGCTTAGTCCAAAAAGGAGCAAATAAATCAAAACATCCCAGACAAGAGAGTTGTGAACAGCTGCATTCACAAAGGGTGGGTGAGGAAATCCATAAAAGCAGCTCCACATTGTCTCTCCTGGTGCTTCTTCAGATCTGCCTCTCCCAAAAGTCAAATGCTTTGAGCTCAGCCCAGCAGCACCAGCCAAGATGCAAAATTGCCTTTCATTTTTAGTTTGTGCAGAGAATTTTTCAATATCAAGGGGCTGACCTAGAGAAGTATATGGGTTGTTAAGACAGAACTGTTAATTACCAATACTATTTTAGTCACTAGGTCTCACCAGAGCATGACAAGAAGCTGGGAGCCACTGTTGTTAACAAATACCCAGGTTGGCTGCTGCTCCTGTCCTAGGTCTCAGGGTTCATGCTACAGCAGCAGGCCTGACCTCACTCCTCTGAAGAACTTCAACTCAATATGCTTGAGAGCAGGATAGTGGGGGCACCTCCATAGCCATCACTCAAATCATCCCATCAAGGATTTATCTCCTCTTGCAGCTTATCTGGAGCCTTTATTAGAAAAGGATGGATTAAAATTAAAAGTTAGCATCAGGATTGCTGTCACATTTTAGTAATAAGAATCAGCACACACAGCATCTCAGTTGAGAGACCACAGAATTCTGTGAGAGCCCCCTGAGCCAGGGCAGGCAGGGTGAGGCTGCACTGCAGCACTGGGGAGGCTGCAGGAGTCCCTTCCCTGTGCCCTGCATTAACCTTGGAGCTGATTCAGGGCACAGAGACTCCCAAAGCTTTTCTGTGAAGGAGAATTCACATTTGCAGCTTTCACTGCAGGCATTTCCTCCCTTCTGCTGTGCAATATTCCCCTCTTTGAAGCTCAATTGATTTCCATGATCCCCCAAGGGCCCACAGGAGCATAACAATCTCATTTCTGAACACAATGCAGAGCCCACGGTGCTATCAACCACAGTTTAAAGACTTCTCCACTTCAGGGCAAAACCTTACAAAATGCTTTCATGTATCTTTCAAGTTATGTTAGTTACTGTTTCTTTGGAGAACACACTGAACTGGCTATAAAGTCACTACACACTAGTCAGGTACTTCTAATACAATGGCTGAAAAACAGTAAAAAAAAAAAAGAATTAATTGATAAGAAAACAAAAAGCAAGAACATCCATGATTTTATTACAAAAACACCCAGCAACTGTATTTAACACAAAAACAGTAACTGAGAGTCTCTTTTTATTTTCTTTCAGTGTACATGCTCATTATTATTCCATTTAATTTACAGAAGGGGTATGTAAAATGAAATTAAAATTAGAGAGGAAACAAAAAGGAAGATTGAGGCATAGAATTTTCTTAGCAAGCAACGATCACAGGAGACAGCACAGATTGAACAGGGATTCAACAGGAGTGACACCTAGGGATAAAGGTAAACAGTAACTTTTTCCTTATCCATTAGATTCTCCATGGGGCTTTTTTGTTTGTTTTAGCAAAACAGTTTAGAGTATCACAGTATACAGGAAGACTAAATGGCAAAGAACGTCTCACACACACACACACATTTATCCCTGCTACTGGTCCAGGATCCCAAACTTCAGTTAACATTCAATTTCCTATCTCTCATTCATTGATAAACTATACAGGATTACACTGTACATGGAGTTAAAATTACAAAAATGTCATATTTACAAAAATCTGTACACACATAGTAAAACTCACAAAATTGTCATCTATGTATCACAAGTTGCGACACCAAAATATTAAAAATGGGATAAAATTATACATTTCTCTTGTCCATTTTTAAAAAGGGTTCATTATTTCAAAGACAGACCACCTATTTTCTCCCAAATAAGACTGGTAAGAGAACTAGAAACCTAAAGTATCCTCCTGGGATAAAATGTCGCGAGCAGCATCTCCCAACTAGAAAGAAGCCTCTATCCTGTCTGCTGGGGTGGGGTGTGCAGTTAGCATCTATGTACAGAAATGGTGAAACTACAACAAGGATGTCTTTGGCTAAACCTTTGGCATAAATTAAAATCATACATCAAAAGTTACAGAAAAGGTTATCTCGGTGATGGCGGAATTCCAGAATTTCTTTCTGAGATACCATTACATACAGCTTTTCTTTCTCTGAGGAAATAGAGGAGGAATAAAGGATTTTGGAACAGAGGCAAATGAGGCAACATTATTTCTTCGTTAAATTTTTCACTAGTATGAAAAATTGTATCAAATCTTTTCATTAAAACATAATTCAATCATAGAAATAACCCCTTCCAGAATTTTTTTTTTCTTTCGAAATTGCATATGAAAAAAATTAGTAAACCAGCCATGACAGAAAAAAATTGTATCAGCATATCAAGTACATATTAGTGCAGGAAGGTGGATAAATTTGATCCACTGTATAAATAAGCTTTATGCGCAGTGTACATTAAATAACCACCACACCCCACTCACACCCAGTACACAGATGCTCCTCAGTGAAGATAAACGTTTATCAAGTAATTAAAGTGTATGTAGTGCAAATGTTACAACCAAGTATTATGCACATGCTACTTGCTTGGTTTAAAGTTACACAAAGATGTGGTGCCTGAAATCATGGACATATATACATCCTTGTCACACTTGGTACAATGTCCTAAGCCACAGAAATACCGAGGTGTTTAGATCTATATATATATACACACACGTTTTCTTAAAATGTGACCACCACATCAATACAGTAACACAAACAGACTAAAATCAATACCTGCTTCCAGATGCTCCAAGGCTCAGAAAGTTTGTGCTTCTAATTCTTGCAGTCATTACGTGCCCCTCTTCCATTTCCCCCTTCTGCCAGCTGAGCAGGAGGGACAGTCTCTTCACGTCTGCGCTGCATAGGATGAGGGCAACGGAGAGGAATAAATGACGGCACAGGCACCTAAGCTGCTTTCCTCCATCAACAGTTCCATGCCCCATGATGAAGGGTTGAGAGAAATTTCCTCTCCACACCACTCCAGGGTGGAAAGGCTTATTGAAAAAAAAAATAAAATCATAACGTGCTTTCCATATTATAAGTGGCAGCAAATCAAGGCACGCTGTACTAATTCTGTAGCATTGAGATTAGCTGACTTTGCAGGGGATGCTCACTGGGGAAGGTCCGACGTTCTCAACTGGCTGCTGGGCCGTGTGGGGCCATACAGAGTAACAGAAGCTATGTGGTTATTCTGCATCACCTGCAAAAGCACAGCAGGGAAAAGGGAAATTAAACTAGTGCTACAATAAACAGAAAATCAGAAGTATTAAAATGGTGAATACAGAAGTGATCTGCCTGAAGAAAGAAATCCCAACAACAAACGACAGCAACAAGCTCTTGGCTAGTTCCTAAAAACAGTCTCTTAGATTTCCATGACACAACACCATCTGCTCCAACCAGCCATGTGAATGTATCTCCTGCTAGCACGAGTTCCAGGCGACAAACTTGAAGTTTCAGCTTCAACATACAAATGTACAACCTCAGAGAAGAGGTTGCAAAGTTTCCCTATACTAAAATTATACCACTCCCAAGCACTGGCTTTTACTGCCATAGGAAGCCACTCATAGTAGCAGCAAACTCATCTTCCCATGCTCAGACAAAAATAAAAGGTTTTTTCCTAACCTCAAAGATCATTCGCTGCAGTCCAAAGCAAAAGGTTGACCCAAATGGGTTAGTGTTGTTTGGAGATGATGACCTGAATAGAAAAGAGGGGAAAAAATTTTAAAATGGGAATCTGAGGATCAGGACCATCTTAAGGAGGAATAACTACTCAGCAACATAAGGTGAATTACAGCATCTTTATCATGGCTTTTACCCACAGAAAGTACCTCTACATTATGCAATACCATTGCTAGACTCCAAGTGAGCCAAAGGGAACTCTGGTTGATGCCACAGAGCCATTACTAACACTTGGGGATAAAGTAAAAAAAAAGGCACTAGTGACCTCTACAGGAAAACTCTCCTGCACTTAACTTGAACAGGAAGAACCCTAAAAAACTCCCAGATACACAGGAAGAGAGAAGCACCATGTTACTGCACATTATTTTTGTGCAAGATCCTTCCCTTTGTGTCTCAATCTCTACCATATATATTTACTATATATAGTCTATTGTTTATATTAACTAGATACTGTCTATTAATCAACTGGATTTAGCATGTTAAGAAGATTAACCTATATGATGCTGAAATAGAATAATCCAAGTTTTATTAAACAGCATTTTTCAGGATCTATGTACCACTTTCTTCCAGTTCTTTCCAGTATTTTTGGATTGTACATTGACAATTTCTGTTGACTGCAATGAATTTGAGATTACAGCCAAAAAAAAACCCCTAGTGAATATTTACCTTTTGTCCTTTCTTGTAAACTGGTCAGTTTTTCAAATTGCATGTCTGAGCCATTTGAGATGTGCTCAGTAAAGCGCTCTCTGGTTGAACTACTCTCTACAACACAGATGGAAGAAATAGAAGGGCTCTATGTCATCACTATTTCACCTTAGCTTTACTTCATTCACATGGCTTCTGCTCTAATCATCTCACTGGCATAACAGGAGTAAAGGGGAACAAAGGGCACAATGATTAAGGGGGGAAAAAAGAAAAAAAATCAAAGTCAAAATCATGTGAAAGTCTGATAAAAATACATTAATTTATCTGAAATTGCTATGGTATTTGCACAGTACCTATCATTTACACTTGTCTTGAGATAAAAATCATGGTTTGACATCATAAAATGATAACTCTGCAAACAGATAATGCCCATTTAACCCAGTATCCACCTCAATGCCTGCAGAAACACAGGAAATTTAAGGACTATTCTATCTTCAGTCAGCTTGAAGGAACTGTAGAATCATGTATGTTCATAAAAGACAAGCTTCTTCAGACAGACTGCTGTTGTATGTTTTCATGTGCATATATGCTGTGCTATATCATGTCATGTTATTGAAATACTTTTATAAAAACTCTACACTATTTATTACTCATAAAGAAAGATTATTCGATGCACTGTTCACTAAGAGATCTTCTCTGGATTTTGCATTTCAAGGAATTTTGGAAATGCTTTCACTCAGCATGTCAGTTTACTTCCTCTGAGAGCAGCTATCTCATCTTGATAGTGGCCAAAAACCCCTGAAACTTTAACCAGCAAAGCAGTACAAAAGTAACCAGCACCATAAACATTCTTCATCATCCTCTGCTGTCAACCCAGTCCTTGCCAAGTAAAATAATGAGAGATTTTTACCTGTGAAGTACCACTGGCTTCTCTACAGGGTGCCCCAGTAGATCCTGAATACTGTCCCACTGTAATACAACAATGAATTTGTGTTAAAATGAAGCACAAGAAAACTCTTCTTTTTATCTAGGAAGAGTGCCATGCACATTTGTTAGTGACAAACCTATTTGTCAAACAAACTTGAGGTATTCGCATTAGTATTTTGTGACTGGAGCTATATTCAGTAATGGAACTATCCACTGCTAGGGCTAGTGAGTTATCTTAAGGTATATTCTTATTTTTGTCTAAAAGTAGTTTGGAATTAGAATTATTAATATAAAAATTTCTATTGGTCTTATGAATAAAATGTTGCTGGAAAGTCTTGTCTTGTGGCATTTATGGGGCACCTCAGAGAGCAAAGCAGCTGTGGGAAACTTCAACAAAATATCCTCTTACAAATATTTGCAGAGAGAAAAAATAGCCCCACTGCTACCTCTCCCGTAAGTCTTTCCTTGATTTAAGCAACAATTTTGGAGAAGAGGAAAGCTGCACTATTTAATGACTGGGAAGTGTCCAACAGTTTTCCTCACTTGAACCAGACTCCAAGAAGCTGCAGTTTCACACACAAGACTGAAATAAGTCAAAGCACTGAAGGGAGTTAGTTAATTCAAATCAAAAAGCATAGAATGGCATCTTCTGGAGTCAGATTGCTGACTCCAATTTTTCTTCCCAGTATGGGAGCCAAAATTCACCAAGGAAAGCCTTCATTTGGCACCCCAGGAACCAAGAGAGCAGCAGTGACCCTGGCTGAATGCTGACTGCAGAGACATCCATGAACAGTTTTTGAGAAGTTTTTCAACTTAATGCAGCTGTCAAATATGCAGCAGCACCTGCCCAGCTGGGAAGTTCATTTGGGTGGAAAGGCTGTGGAGTGTTCAAGGAGTCTGCTGTCATCAGGGGATGTCACACTGGCAGTGACATTTTTAAAGGCTGCTGACTAAGAAACATCCCATTACTGGTGCCCTTCAGAAGAAAGTGGAAGGGCACTGGAGTCTCCTGTTCAGTCCATGTCTTCAAGAGCTATGCTTAGAACAATAGCTCTGTGAGAATTTTGTTTAGGAACATGTCTCCAGCTAACATTCAGCCACTACTGCTGCTGTTTTCCCCTATCACTTATTTCACTATTTCTACCTGCAGCTGTGTTAAAGCTATGCCACAATGTAGTAATTTAGTTTACTTGAAGAGTGCTATTACAAATGAATTCAATCATTTAACATAACAAAATATTTAAAACACAAGACACACACTAACTTTTGGCCTTCTACTATTCCACTTTAAAACAGCATGATACCACTGCTGTAATTTCCTTGAAGTGTGTTGTAAAGTTGGCATGAATCATTTAGATGGTTTAAGAAAATCAGAAAACATTCAGTTCTGCACAGGCTCACCTTGCTGTATGTTGTACACGTTTCTGTCTGTGAATCAGCACTATCTATGAAACAAAAAAAAGAAAAGCTTTTATAGCTTAAGCTTGAACAGCCCCCTACATAATCCTTTATTCTGGCATGTTAATTCAGATAGCAGGAGACACAGGAGCATTAGATCAGGTCATATACAAATTTACCAGCATTCACTAGCAATCAGAATTGTCAGTAACACTGACTAAATGCCAGTTAAGGTCATAAAGCAAACCTCCCTATTTACAGCAAGTCCCAACTTTAAGATTATAAAAGCTTCAGCTTTAATCTCAGATGGAAGAACACCACTGTAGAAGAAACCTCATCTCTTTGCACTAAGCTAACAAGCCTAGCACAGCATCTCCAGGAGGTAACATGATGTGCCACTCATTAATTCTAAATCACTCCACTGCACTTGGAAGGAAAGCTGGCTAAAAGTGACATCTGGGGACTCAGGAGCTGGCAGGCCTGAGATCAGTGAAAACATCACTCTTCCACAAAAAAGCTGGCAGAGAGCTTGGGAATTACAGCCTACCTATTAAAAAATAAAAGAACAGCATTGCATTTACAATTACAGCCTTTAAACAGAAACTGTTTGCTGGTGGTTTCAAATACTTTCATACATATCTTACACACATATACTTGGGTACTCCTAAATACTGAAAGCTTGTTCCCAAAACAGTAGGAATGGACCTAGACATTAAAATGTCAAACAGAGCTTTCAGTCAAGTTAAAGACCGTTTGCTCGTCTGTATTTTTCCCTCTCTAAATATGCTCTCTTTGTGCTGAGAGTTCAGTGTCTGTGCAACTTGAACTTTGGCTCTTAATTTATCATCTGAACTTGAAGCACAAAAGGGAACTAATACAACTGCATCAGACACTGCCACCAGAGGGAAGAAGATGGGCTCTTCAAAACTATTACAACATCTGTTCACAACTTGTTGCATGTCCTGGACATAAGCTAGAGGCCAGAAAAGCTGGTTAGAAATGCCAAATAGAGAGACACATTAGGAATAAATTCATAATGCTACTTGAGGTAAATAAAATTAATCACAAATTAATGCTTTGAAGTACAATAACCTAAGGGAAATAATTTTAGAAGTGAGGATTTTCATGCTCATTCTCTTGGCTGAAGTACAAATCCACTTTCCTGTAAGCCTGTATACACAAACGTTGTTTTTCCAGGTTTTTAATCCTCCATATGCTCAAACTGCTGTGACAGCCACAGGAGGATTGCACTTCACACAGCAAGCAAAGTGCTTGCAGTAAATACCAATCAGAATGAGGAAAACATCCCTGGCCAAAACCTAGGCAGCATCTGGCATTCCCTGGATAATCCAAATACCTCCCAGTACACATTTTTTCTTATGTTGAAGAAGTGTACTTTGATCACTGTGATCTTCAGACAGGGCTCCCCTACTTTGCTCAGATTAGTTACTGCACAGAGCTGGGAATATCTTGGTACCTTGCCAAATCAGCACTACAGATTATAGAGTTATTTTTTAATAGATTTTTGGATTTATTTTCAGGTGAACACAGACATACTTGGTCTGTAGCACACAGAGCCAACATATCTGGATGTTTACTTTCATTCCCAGATAAACCAGATTATATTAAATACCAGTGGACTGGACAGATGAGCTCAGACTAACACTGCCTTACAGATTTTGAGCCTCCAGGTACAAGGTAATTGATTTTAGCAGAGCAGCAGCATTACAGGATATTGTGATGTTGCAGCTAAATATTTGCATGATCCAAGTAAGTGAAGAGGTAGTGTAAGTAAAATCAGAGAACTGCTACCTTGCCCTGAAGTGTCTTTCCCACTTAAATAGAAACCTAATCCCAAAACTTCCTCTCTGTCTCAATGACTGTCACTGTTAGCATCCTCTGACAATGAAGGACAATTAAAGACTGATCCCAGCTCCCCTTGGAGCATTGTGTGCCCCCTGCAGCAGGACAGCAGGGAAATGCTCACCTCTCTTAATGACGAGTGGAATCTTGAACTCACAGCGATGATAACTAGAAAGTGCAAATTGTAAAAGCTATTAGAGAACAGAGAAGCCAAGAAACTGCACAGCCACACACTTACAGCTCTTAATAATCCCTTTCATGAAAAGCTATATCAATAATGAAATTAAAGTGATGATCTATGATAGCAGATTATGTTCTCAGTTAGATTTTCTACATCAAAAAAGGCAGCAGCCTGGGAATGTCCTAATGCAATTCTTTAGAGGACACAAGAAGTCCTTTCGCATCAATTACTCTATTGTTACATTATTGTTACTCTATTGTTACACAGAGTGGATGGAGAAATACTTAGCCATGAAACAGCACTATAGATTTCTCTGTCACTAACAGCTTTACTCAGACATCCAGTCACTAACTCATAATGTTCCTCTAAAGAGTTTACACTTAGAAAGTACTGAAAATATGTTCAGAAAATGAGATTTTTTTAATTACTAATTGAAATCATGTTAGGAAGAAAACAGTAATGTAGCTACCAGAAAATGAGAACTCTGGCTAATACAAAGTTTGCCTCTATCAAGAGTTTGCACATCACACCTGGACCAAGACCTACCTTATCTCATTCACTGCTTTAAGACATACTTGCCAGTATATATAAAGGCATTTAATAGTAAAAAGAAAACACAACTAAAAATGTTACTAATGATGTCTGCAACCTCCACAGGTTACTAGATACAATATATTTTTTAAGTCTCTTTGACGTAATTCTATAAAGAGAATGTAAGATTTCCTTTTCAGTTGTTTTAATGTACTCTTTCATAGATGAGTTCTGTACACTCACATGTTAAAGTTGTAATGACCAGGATAATTTGTATGCAGGACAAATTTCTTCACCTTGTGAGTGTTTGCATCAAAGAGAATATCCTGTTGAAGACAAAAAACAAGATGAAGCAATCTGGGTAAGAAGGGGCATTCCCATGACTAACCTGAGAGGATTTAAAATAGCCCCTATATAGAGTGACATACATTTATCTCACTGAAACTGAATCAAATTATGAAAAGTAGTATCTGAAAATAAGACTATTTGTAAATTCAAATAACACATTTTCTCCAGCACTCAATTACAACCGCAGCTTCATTTGCTAATGTTGGCAAGTTTTCTAAGGAGATCCTGTTTTTCTGCATATTATTTACAGTAATGTAAACTAAAGCAAAACAGCTGCAAGAAGAAAAATGAAGATTTAACTAAACACCACAGCTCAGCAAGCTTTCACAACTGATGCTATGGCACACTTGCCTCAGTTCTGTGGGACAGGGGCATGGATCTCAGGAACAAGAACTAGTTACCTATGCATCAGCTACTACAGAAAAAGGAGAAAACCTAAGAGGCTGCTAAAGTGCAAAGAGCCCTCCATCCATGGGTGGAGATAAAATGCTGCTGATTAAATTTGTAAGTGTTAAAGGGAAGTCAAGTGAAGCTTTTCATATCCTGAGATTCCTAAGGCAGCAATCAAGAGCTTTGCAGGCTCTCATTTCCCACAGCCTTTACCCTCCTGAAAGGATTGCTGTGTAACTAAATCAGAAGTTTACATGAATTGTTCAGGGAAGCTTTCCACTCACCACTCCAAGTGTGAAATAATTGAAGAAGTAGTCATTGCACTTTGATGGGACCTGCTTGTGGGGCGAGGGCGAATGGATTTTCATCTGCAAGAAATATACTTTTCAGATGCATGCAATAATGCTTAAAGATGAATGCCTTTAATAACAACTCTACATTCAAACAAATTGCTATAATCTCATTTGAAATCTTTGTTCAACTAAGGAAGACACTGTGCTTCATGACAGGACCATCACCTGCTTGTAGCAGGCACAGTATCAAATCAGCTATTTCAGTTATCATAATTAAAGGTTTACTTACATTATTAAAAGGTCATAATTAAATCATAATTAAAAGGTTTACTTAGATTATGCTGTGTAAAAGCATTAGGAAAAGATCAAAGTGTATACTGAGGTTATTTTACATACACTATAAGTGAAAAAAATAGGCAGCACACACTTGCTAAGGCACATTTGGGATACAAAAGCACTCCCATTTGTAACTATTCTTAATCCAGTTAACATTACATTTATTTTAAAAATCAAATTGTGTAAACAGATTTGCATCAATTTAGATTTTAAAAAAGCTTCTTAAAGCCTATTACATAATGGTTCAGCCTGGTCTATCATGTCAAGTAATATGTTGAGCACCTGTAATTTGTGCTACATGGAAGTTCAACTTCACTGACCTTGCCAAACACAAGCACTATGATGAGACTGAGACACCAATGAACAAAGTCTGTGTCTGAATGAATTCCCTCACCTTGTCTTCAGACTTGTAGAAGACTTTGTGTGGAGAGCCCAAGGTGCTGAGCACATCCTGGCAGGAATCACCGAAGTACACGCAGCGCTCAAATACCCGCATCTTGGCATCAGCTAAAACACCTGGGCCACAGCCTGAGGAACAGAACACAGCTCTACATCCATCCCTCCTGATCACAGATACATCACTAAATCAACACCAAAAGGTTAGCATCATTCCTCTATTTATCACAAACCAAACAGCTGCATTCCTCAGACAACACTGCCAAACTAATTTTAACTATTTACTTTGCAGCAGTGTAAATATTTCTTATCAGAGCAGTGCATGTGCTGATTGCTGCATGGTTCCCCATTTCCACCTCCAATTTCAGCCATACTACCTTCACTTCCTTGCCATTCACATGGACATGACTTGGTTTCCCAGCCCATCTCGATTTGATCAGCTAGCTATTAGCAGTAAATACAGGAATTATTTCTATCCCTAGAATATTCTACTTTAGCAGCTAGAGATTTACCTCCAGCTAAAAACGTCAAGCACATGAAGTGAAATCCCTCACCCACATTAACTGTATCACAAAACACATTCTTTACTCAAGATTCCCATAACTTACTAAATCAATAGCAAGTATATCCCTGTGCAAACAACGTTAAAGCAGATCTTATTGAATAGTCATTACACAGATGAATTGCTGACAAATGTTACCAGATGTGAGGAAATGGAAAGATGTTGCACTTTGTGAGCCCACTTGCTTTCAGGAATGCAGCATCTTACATTTACAAGAATGCAAGGACACATATGCAGCAGTTACTGCAAAACACAGGATGTGCTCTAAATACACACTTGGCTTTCCTCACTATGCATTATTTATGTAGCTAGTTACCCACTAAAATAAATCAGAAAAATCCAATTCACTCATCCTTGATTTCTTAAGCAACAGTAACTGCAAATTAATACACAGGCAGAGAGACTTGAGCTAAAACAGCTGTGCAATATATTTTACAAGAGTTTCTACAAACTTTGTAAGATAAGAACAGAACGTGTCCAGATTGCTTCTGTGCAAGTTTGTCTGAACATCAGTGAAATTTTAATAATTATTTTAGTCATTAACAATATTTCCTTTAAACTGCATGCATATACATTTTTAACAAAACTTGACACTATACATGTCCAATTTCACAAAATCATTTACATAGTTATGATGCTATAGCTAACTCCTTCCCCAGTACATGAGGCAATATGTTCTCTACACTAGACAGCTCTACCTTATCTTCCTCTGTAATAAGAGAAGCAAAGTAGGTTGAAAATATCTGCTCCTTTTTTATTCTTCATCTAGAATTTTATTTTTTCAACTTTAGCGCGTGTATTCCAAATGTGTCCTCAATATACATAGAGCTAGCAATCAGGACAGGTGAAAAGCTGAGCCTCCTAATGAAAATTGTTAAAAATTGTTTTTCTTAAAAACACTGTCAAGTCTCAAGAACAAGACTCCTTTGCAGCTGTTAAATCTGCCCTAATTTCTAAGCACCCTCCCATCTCTGAAAGCACATAAAAAAAGAGAGACTCATCAGCCTCTCTTCACTTTCACCACCGTCTCCTACAGTAAATGAAAACAGAACTGAATGGGAATTGCAGTTTAATGCTGCAGCTTTAATGTAGTCACTTGCTAGCACTTTAAAAAGCCTTCCAGATTTAATCACAAGAATAGCAACACCATACAGCTCCCTGGAATGTCAGAAAAAGCACACGTACACAAGCTTTCTTGGTTTGTCACAGGTTTTTTAGTGATGTACTGAGAACAGTGATCTGTTTTCTTCTACATACATCTGGAGACAAATTCCATTTCTGCACACATATTCTAAGAACTCAGAACATGTGAGGGCTCCAGTTCCCAGTAATTTCTCCAGAGTCAGGAAAAAGCAGCATTGAGCAGGTTCATCTTCAAAAAGATTTAACTGGGTTTTGTTCCAATAATTCAAAGTAAAGTAGATAAAACACTTTGAAATCCCTTACTAAATCATCACAAATAACCTGTGCTTAATTCACACAGGTTTATACCCTTATTTCCCTGAGGGGAACAAGCAGTGCAATGTTCTGAGTTTCTCCAGTACCTGCAGTGAGGAGGCGAAGCCGTAAACCTGAGGGTCCAGTTCCATCTCGCAGAACATCGACGTTCTCAGCATACACATTCCCAAGGAAACAGCTGAGAGGCATCAAGGGAGCCCTGAAACCAATCAAACAAAATGTGCACAGGATTTGCTTCACCTTCAAATTTTCCTCTAACAAGCTGGTACGAGTTCATTGGAACAGAGCACATTAATTTTGACAAAGCTGCATGTAACCGAGACTGAAGATTAAAAATTATATTAAACAGAAGGATCAGAAAGCATGGGGGAAAAGAAGAGGAACAAGTCAGCACTCAAATGCAAGGTCTTTACCATTAATGAAAAAAAACAGCAAGTTTCAAAGACTCCAGGAATTAAGGAATTATAGAAACTGTACCTAGCCTTTGGATATCGCCTATGAGGAAATGTCAGCTCAGATTTCTCTCAGGGAAAATGAAATTGTGGAGTGTTTAGAGCTAACTATCACCCAAATGCAGCAAAAGAGCTTCCTCTGTGATGCTCCTACTGCTCTTGGGAGGGTACTGCATAGCCCAAAACATGAAATCAGTTTGTGCAGGTACACCCAAGGATACTGTGCTTCTTTACTGGGCAAGTTCTCAATTTAATTCAACACCAACATTATTTTAGAAAATAATCACGGTGCCAAGTGAGATATTTTTAATTGAAAGGCATATTTTCTGTGTATCAACTTGTATGTGCTCCCTAAAATTCCCTGTTCTTATGTTCCTCCTGTGGGTGAATGACAAGCTAAAAGTTGGGCTTTGAGCTCTCTCTTACACACACAACAGAGCCCCATGCAACAATCAGTGCTTTCACTAAAGCTCACCATGTCACAGATGGGCACAGACAACAGCACTTTTCTCAAGTGCACTTGTTTCTAATTAAGAGACAATGTCAGCATAAACTAAGCTCCCTCCCTTCTGAGCAGTGTTTATCTCCTGGCCTTAAAACTCAACTGTCTCTCTGAGAAAAATACCCTCTTATCAGTCTGGGTATTTCTAAGATTAGGGATCTCGGAATCCTAGAATGATTTGGGTTGGAAAGGACCTTAAAGAACACCAAATTCTAGCCCTCTGCCATGGACAGAGACTCCTTCCACTAGGCCAGGTTGCTCAAAGTCCCACCCAGCCTAGCCTTCAAGATAAGCTCAGTCAGGTATCTGCAAATACATTGAACATATGACAGATTATGCATATGGCATAGTTTATTAATTTTGTTTAGTAAGAGAATTTAAGACTCTTAATAAGGCCCTGCCATGACATACATATTCTCAATACCCTACAAGCTTACAGACTGCCTACACAGAGTTTGATTTGCTTAAGAAGAGGTCATCAGCACAAACAAAATCTAGAGGAAGAACAGCCTTACATGGTGTTACTGAATTCACAATGTTCCCTACTTTAATTCATTTTCAGGTCAATTGAACTTGCCTACTACAGCTGAACCAAGCTCATTTTACAGCAACATAAATCAAACCAATGTTTCATTATAAGGGCTGAGGACAACACCTACAGAAATCTAAATTATCTAAAGGCATTCTGAAGATCCAAAGTGAACTAAAAAAATATACTATTCTATTTAGCAATGACAAAGCACTAAATAAATGAGGGAAAGAGCAGGAGCAGCTGCACATACTTGGTGTCCTGCAGGCTGTTCCCATTGTAGATGTACATGCGTTTCACAGTCGCGCCGTGCGGGATTTGCAGAGAGGCCAGACCATGGGCAAAGTTAGGCTGGGGAAACACAAAATCCCTCTTGTTATACACCACAGCAGACACCTCAGCTTCAGAAGACACTTTCAGACACTTCAGGTCAGAAATTGCTTTAGAGATGCTGTATATGCTTACCAATTCAAGCAAGTCTCCAGCAAAAGACAAGGGGGCAAAATAACAGAAAAATCCAGCCTTCTAGGTGGTGTTTCTATTCCACCACTCCTGGATTCCTGAGCTGGGGTGAAACACTCAGCATGTTCATTCATCAAAAGATGCCACTAATCTGACAATTAGTCACTGTGTGACCTGAGAATTCAAGTCTCTCCTTGGTTTGATCATGGGCAGCTAGCAATTTTCAACTATTTGTACTGATACATTGTTATATTTAAGAAACCATCTGTCTTAAAGGAAAACTTCCCCTTTTTGTCTCCCACTGCATTAATTTCTGCCTTTTAACATTTTTGCTGGTTCCCAAGATGCTTTATCTGATGAACAGAAACTTGTTCATTAAACAGATTTTCCGCTCTCCTTATCACCACATTCTTACACATACTGTTTTGACAGGGATTTGAGTGCTCTCATCAAATAGAAAGCATGTTAAGGAAGTCAGATTGACTCTTACTGCACTAGAAGAAGGAATTTCTTTCAATTCTGAATGTGACAGGACATTCAAGACCAGTAACATACTTTGCTGTCACCAGACAGAAAAAAACCCTATCTTTGTCACAAGCAGTCAACAAAAACAAGATGCACAATATGCAAACTATTACCTGATCTACTTTAGCAGGCATCACATAAGGTAAACACACACACAAAAAATTCTTAGGAAAAACATTAACCTAGAACAGTAACTTTCAATGCTGTAGATATTAAGAAAGGAACCTCCATTACTTAGCAAATCTAGAGATGTCCCAATTTCAATTCTCATCCTGAATTTGCCCAGAACATTAATACCTTTTGCTTCTTAAAGAACATGAAATTACAGATTATTGAAGCAAGCAAAGGTTTTCATGTTCTCCTCATCTGCAGCTTGTTTCCAGCTATACAATAAACTCCAAAGTTTTCTTCATAGTTTTTCCATTTCCATAAGCAGAAGATTACACTGCTTTGCTAAGTAGCTTAGCATTCCTGTACAATCTTCCCTGAACTTGACAGATTCAAATTTGACTTCACTCTGCAATCTTTTGTAATGTTCCTCTCTAAAAACTTTAACAAAGACTTGTCTTCCCTGTGGACTGTTTCATACTGCTATGTTTTCAAAACAACCCTACTTTTACCTGTTCCTGGGGAGACTTTGGCATTACACTCTTTGCAAAGAACATTTTACTAACCTCACTAGAGCAGCTGAATGAGACATTTGGAGAATGCAAAATTAGTTTCTCCACTGTTCCATCAGTTTGATTTTAACATCTTTTAGGTAGTCCTGCAAGGAGCAGGGAGTTGGTCTCAATGATGCCCCTACAGGTTCCTTCCAACTTGAGATATTTTATGATCTTTACAAATCTTTGGTGAAACAATTTACTTCCTCAGTAGTTTGGCTATTTCATTCACCAATGCCCTGGGAACTCTCGCATGAAAAGAAGCTACTCTTTGTTGGGGCATTCTTTTTGTTTGCCTTATTAGGCTTCTATTCACCTTCCAATCTGAAACCCAACTGACCTTCACTGCTGCTGAACAATAACTTCCCCTGGTTACCCCCTGTGACATGTCAACCACAGCCACTAAAGCACTAAGCTGTGACAAAGAGCATGTGTCATTATGTGGGTTGATTTCTTCTTTGTTTTGGCTCTTTATATGCTCCTTTATTTTAATGCTTTTTAACTGGTCAGTGCAGATTATACAACTGAGAGCATTTCCATCTTCACACAAACCAAGTTACACATATATTTTCATTAGTACAGAAGGAAACCACAGAGGACTTGATCTTGTTTCCATTTTAGATGGGAATTTCCAAAGATTTCAGAGAATGCAGTAATGCATTTAATTATTCAGTAACTCGCCCAAACATTTGGTGAATATGCAAACAGGCATTACAAATAAAACTCATTCATTTGGCTTGCTAGAAGCACTCATACTGAAGGACACTTAAAGAAGAAAATATATTTTATGAAGTCTATCCTACTTTAGTTGCATAATCACTTCAATGAGATTCAAAAATATCTGATAAAAGAACAGCCTCCCAGTAGATTGCTTAATATTTATGTATTTGCATAGACAGCACTCATATTTTTAGATAACTCCTTTTACCAACAGAATTGCTAGTCCCAGTTCATGATGCAAGCAAAACCCCTAATCACACGCCTTTTGTCAACAGGAAGTAAATTTTTAACTTTGAGATGGTTACATAGCATTAATAAGAACACAACAGAAGAGTTCAATTCCTTCCAAATTACTGGTTTCTTTTGTTTGCAAAAGACAGCAAGACACAATGTAGGTGATACTCTGCAAGTACCACGGAGGCAAAACCACCATCCATTAACTAAGAATGATTGCTGACCTCGTATTTCGGGGTTTCAGTCCAGGAGTCCAACTGAAAAGAAAACGACAGTCCTCTGAAATTGAGGTGAAAGAGTTGCTCAGCTGAGTTATACACTAGAAAGGAAAAGAAAGTAAAACCAGAGTTACCAAAATAATCTAAGACTTCTCCAGTTCACATCTAACAGCACCTTTATCACCTCAACGAATCTCAGAATGCAGGAGGAACACAATTACACTGGACAGTAACAGTTTGCTTTTAATTTCATGCAGTAAAAATACAGCAATAAGAGAAACCATAGATTCATTGCAGTTGCTTCTGCAAGCCTGCAGGCACTAACCTATCCCTAACAATACAATTATACAACATGACACAATCAATTATACCTTAATATCTCTAAAGTAGTTTAAATAGCCACTACTGGTACAAAACACTTCTGTTCATTGTTATGTAAAACATTGTACAGTGTTAACCAGAAAGGCTTTGAGAGAGATGTGCACAAACACTGATAACTTCCTCTTTCACACATGGGGAGTTCAAAGGAGAGCTCACCCTGTGACCTGCATTTCCACCTCTCCTCCCAGGAGGAGCTCCCATGCCCCAGTCAGCTCCTGCATTCCCGGGTAACACTGACACAGCCCAAGGAGGAAATGCTTCAGACACACAGGTCCTAGGCCATTTACAATGATAATTAAAAATAGCATCACCAGAAACAGCAGCCAGCCAGTCAGCTCCCACAAAGAGCACCAATAAATTAGAGCACGCACAGACTTCCAGCTGTCACCACATCACGAGATGTCCTGATTCACTGCAATCAATTGCACAACATCAACTATGAAAACAATAAATGTCATCCCAGTACTTACTCTAACAAGACACACAGTTTTCCGAGACTGTGGAAAGATTAAAAAACAATCCCAGAAGACTGAGAGCTTGGGAACTGTTTTAGGATTGATTTTATAAACTCCAACCTGTGCCCAGTAGCCACTAGGGGAACAGAGTGTTCTAGTAACACACAGGATCTGACAGCTTGAAAACACCAGAGGCTTAAAACAATAAAGAAACCCTCTGAAAGAGAAGCTGCTTTCTTCCACTTTACCAAAGGAATACCAAAGGCTCAAAATTCCCTTTTTTCTTAAAATGTTATATTTAAAATGACATAGCATAGAGAGAAAACGCATATAAAGAAATATTTTATTCCATCCCTCCCACAATGTCTTTCAAATGTTCAACTTAAAAGACATATCACAGGGTATCTGGACAATGCCAGGCCACCCAGGATAGAAAAATAATAGTTGAGCAATAAGCATTAAACTTTCAAAAGTTATCATTTGCCTTTTCTACAGAATGTGCTGGCTAAGAGTCTTTTCCACGCTTGTCACTGAAAGGAAAACGTGTGGAGAGAGGGAAATGTTTTGATCGGCAGGAAAATTATACAAATCTCTCTCATGTGATAAACTATGATACATCTTTTCCAAAGCCCACAGCCAGCTGGAGAACTATTTTTCCCCTAGTCATGCCAAGTGTGATATCTGATTATACAAATTGCATCAGTTCCCATCCCCTGCAATGTTTGTTGATGCTTGGGTTTAAAGGGCAAGGAATTTTTTTATTTTTGGGAAGTTCTCTCACATCTCCCTCAAAACCACAGATCACAACCACATGACTGAACAAGGTAAGGATTTTTTTGTATTATTATTTTAATTTTTTTTTTTAAATCACACAGGTACTCTGCTAATTCCATTCAAAATTGCTGACAGAAGCAAAAAGACTGCTTCTTTGCTACTGCACTCTGGGTGGGGGATAGGGAGGAGGTTTGCCTTCCAGGAAGGCAGCAGAGTGTGACCAGCTGGGAAATATTTCTGTAGAGCTGACAGGACAAAACCACCAACAGGAGCAAGGCTGCAAAATGGACACAGCTTTACTAAAAGCAGAAGCAGATCCAAAAGTCAATTCTTACTGGTATCAAGCACAGGACTTTTCTGGCGCCTCAGGGGAAGGTGAAGTCAGAGTTAGAGAGCCAGAACACAGCAACCCCTCCATCCCTGCAAGGCCTTTGGTAGGTGGGAAGGACTTTTTTTCTACCTTATGACTTGAGCCCAAGCCCACAGCCCTGGTCCTTGCTGAATGGCACTTTGGCACAAAGCCACATCCATGAGCACTCAGGACAGGATGTGGTTTCAATAGAGCCACTGGCAAAAGCAAGCCCTTCCCAGCAGGAGGTCAGGTCAGAGAATCATGGAAATGTGGGATAAAAATCTTGGCTTTGATGAAGCTGTTGACCTCCAAAGTGGTTGTATTTCAATAAGCCCCATGACAAAGGTACTGCAATGTTTCAAACTACCATTAGCCAAAAAGTAATGAAGCTGATTGATTTTTCTGATGACTCTTCTTTTTTAAAACCACTGATCTGGCAAAACCAAAAATGCTCACTGAAGGTTGGTTTCAACACAAAACTGTTGCTAACCTTTTGAAATTTATTTTGAAACTAGCACTGTATCCTGTTGCAGGAAAGTTCTGCTGCAACCACCTTGGTTTTAAGTGAAAGACAACATTTTGAGTGAAATTCTAGTGGAGGTTAGTTAACAGAGATAAAAAACAAAGTAAGTTTGAAGTGCTTGCATTGGGGGTTTGGAGGAGCATTAGCACAGAGGAGTAAAGGGATTGCTATATTCCTCTCATTCATGAAACCTAGTATTTAGTGCTTTGGTCACATTAAGAGGAAGGTTTCTCCTCCCATCCCAGCTCCAATTTTTGTGGGACATGAAAACACCATCACCATCCTTCCCCCATGCTGAAAACCATTCTCCTTCTTCACCCTTTCTGTTTCAGAAAAGCCAAAGGAAAAAGAGAGTTATCAAAAACTTGGGTTGCATAATCCAGTTCAAACTGTTTGTGACAGGCAGCTTAATACAGAGCATTTACTTCTGCTAAGTAGGCTGTTAATGGAAGAAGTATTTTTCCAATGAGGAAACTTGAACAAGCAAAAGCACTAGTGAAATGGTAATAGAGGCCAGCATTTTAATAAATACATTTGCTTATCTACATGTCACTAGATGAAAAGATTTTATGAAAAACTATCACCAGATGAAGCAAGCATGCAAGTCTTCTTAATTGAGTATGACAGATGCACAAGATCTGCAAATTCAGCACAAGGACACGTGGTGCCAAACTATGTTTTTAAGTGCTTGCATACAATTTTATGCAGTAATAAAATATGCTATCACTATCACAGGCAAAGTTTATGGCTAGATATGTATTTTTACAGTTCATAATACCACAATTTTGGAAGTGCTCCACTTCCACATATTTGCAAATAAACCACAATCACAGAACAAATAAAAATTATAACCCACCCAGGACATGGAACCACTTTTACCCTTCTTTATTTCTACAGTTTCTTGTACATACCATTTCCATAACAGATCTAACCATAGATTTCAGAGCTTCCATCTAAGAGGAACTGTTAATGTCAGGACCAAAATTTAGAAAGCTTAATTTTGGTCCTTGGAGTATTACAGCTAGAAATGTTCCAAGCTTCATTTATCTCAATCTGATATTCATCTACTACTGCAGGCTTTTATGCAATAATACTGCTCTACCCACATGACCCTCCCCAGTTAATAAATCCTCTTCTGTAATGTGCAAGAGATTGTCTGCAGAGAGAGACAAAGGCTGGATATGCAATCACCATCCATCACAAAGAACATTCGCCTGTTTGGGATCAGCCTGACTACTGCAAATGGACTGGCTTCAGCTAAAAATAGAAAATGAGGCTCTGAAAATGGTATCTTGACTATATGGAGGTGAAGTTCTTCCTTGTTGTGCCAGTTTGTGGCTTCATTTCTTGAAAGTTCACAGGCAATTTAATTATGAAGTTCAAAAGCTTCTCCAGCACCTTATTTTCATGGCCTAGGAACTCCCTGAAATCCACTCCTCATTTTCATACATAAACCAGGAGCTTCCAGATGGTCTGGAAGCTGCAGAGAGGGGGAACAGCCAAGGGGCTGTGCAAGAGTCAGAGTGGGCTCAGCCAGGTGAAACAAACTTGTTCTGGTTCTGCTCCTGCTGCACATTGACTGAGTGCCCACCTCCCCAGTGGCCCAGCAGAGGAGGGGGCTCAGGAGGTGTAAGCCAGTCACACACAGCTCATGCTTGCTCCTGCCCAGCAGGGGAATAACACATTACAGAGCATGGGGACTGAGCAAACAGCCCTGGCTGCCCCTGCACAGAGAGCTGCTCAAGGGGCTGTGCTCATGGCACACACAATCCCTAAGGATGCTGGAGAGCTGACTGTGCACAGGGATGTGTAACAATAACAAAGATCACAGTTTTCTGGTACTGGCACTTCAAAACAGATCATCAATGACATCTGAATACAAACTCTGTGCCAGTGACTCTCTGCCTCACCATTTCCCTTTTACAAGAGAACCACAACTTAACTGACACTACATTTTAGATGATTTACCAGCTGTAAGGATATGACCATTCTGGAACACAGCTCCAGATCATATGACAACAGAACTGCCTACACATTGCTCAAGGCAGACACACTGGAAAGGATTCCTAGAAAGAAGCCTGTCAGGCTAGGTGTGCTTCTCAGAAAGTTTTTGGCTTACCTCCTGGATGTGTTGCTCCAAATGACTGATCAATTTGTTCTATGGTTGGAGCAATTGCCTGAGAGTTAAAATGGACACCACTGAAAAACAAAACAGAATTAATCTGCCTGAAGGAAGCCAAACAGATGCTACAAACATTTATAATGGCAATACCACATCTAAATTTTAAGAAGTCTCCAAGACTGAAGAATAAACCAGTAATTTAACTGAGTGCCATGTTCAAGAAAGGATGATTATGCACACTCCCTCATGACAGCTATTTTTGATTTTTAAAATGAATAATTGAAAAAATGAATTCAGGACTTTAAAAAAGTGAGTAAAACCAGCCACTCTAACCAAGAGGAAAGCATGGGAGGTCTTAAACCACTTACCAATATTTTAACTTCACCTTAGTCAAGTCATAAACTTCAATCACCTGAAACACAGGAAACAGAAACATTGCTACAGTTCAGATACTTGCAAATTACAGAGATAAATCCTTGTCAAAGGGCAAGACTAGCTAGTGCTGCTTGCTCTCCTTCTTACAGAACTCTGCCATGATAAACCACAGTGTCAGAGATCAAACTCAAAAACTGACTCAACAACTGCACATCTGAAATAAGGCCTGAACACCCCTGGGTTCAGGAGAGAACCCCCATGTCCCATGTACATCAGCACTGCCTGCAGGAAGAAATCCTGTCACTGACACATCAGGACCTTGATTTCTACAAAGTTTACTCAAACAAATTGAAAGGAAAGCAACACCAAGGATTAGCTAATTAGGGAATCCTCTGATGAATGTCAGTGGGCCATTCCCTGGGTTGCTCCCATGACCCTGAAGAATGCCTGTGAGGGCACAAAGGCCTCACACTGACTGCACTGCTGTAACCCTCCAGCTCTTCTAAAGTAAAAGATGAACACAGCAAGGCTTAGCAGTAATATCCCATTTCAATTATATTTAAGATATCTTGCAACCTCACCAAGCATTACAGAAGACAATCAGAAGAACAGTCCATGAGGAATCAGGGCAAGCAATATATCCAGTTCTGATATTCAGAAAATGCTTTAAACCTCACTGAATATTCCAAGGAGATTTCCTCTCTGCAGAAAATATAAGATATGGATCCTTTGCTCTGAATAATTACTGCAAACATGCATCTGAGACTGATGTCATATGATTTTTATGACTGCCACTGGATTTTGAGGCTATACTGGGCTTTAAGCAGATGATTTTTGGCAAGGAGCCACGGAAAAACACAAGCTTCTTCCACTCTACATATGTGTTCCTATGTCAGCAGGAAAAGAAAACACACACAGCTCATAACCACCATAAAGCAAAGGTAAAACTTGCTTTTTTGTTTTTTGTTTTGTATAATCCTCCAACAAATAACTGGCAGATTCTGACAGGACACACTCTTCAGCATGAGAATAAAGCAGAATTTCCCAGGGAGCTTATACCAAGTGTGGCTTTAAAGCCTAAAAATATCACCAGCTGAGAAGGAAGTCTTGGTTTTGGGAGATGCCCAGCAAATAACCCTAAATAAAACAACTTGCCATGTTTAAACCACTACCTCTATATATATTTAGAAAAAAAAATAAATCAACATTTAATGGCATTTCAAAATATAAGCAACAAGTAGGGCACAAAGCAAGTAACAAATTAACATTCTGGCAGAACCAACAAGACAACAAACATCCTTCTTCATAATAAAATACACTTGGAATTATGCTTCTTGGAAAAACCTAGTTATCTAGTATTTTAATTCAAGTGCAGTTGACATGTCCAGATATCCTTTACTGTTAAAGCCTATTAAAAAACAAAGGCTACTTTTATGAAAAGCTAGGACTGATTTTACTGGTTTTTTTAGTGCTCTTGCACATCTTTTCCCTCCACAAAATTTTTTCTGAAAATAGAGAGAACCAGCCCCACCCCAGATCTTGTTTTGCAGCTGTGTGCACTGGGCACCCTCCTGAAGTTCTACCAAAACTGCAGAGTGCAGGACAGAAGGATGAGTTGAAACACCAGGAGCAGTGCACAAAGAACTGCAGGGGCACAAATGTGGTTCCCCCCAAGGGAACACCCTGACAGCAGCCAACAGGCACCAGTTTGCTAAGAGACTCAAAAAGATCAACTCAAATCAACATTTTTTTTACCAACAGCAGAGGAATAAATGAGTAAAACTTAGGAAAATTTAATGGCAAAGGATCTCGTAAGTCATGAAAGTCATAATGAAGAATAGGCCAGAGCACTTGAAAAAAAATTCTTGAAATTAACTGCCAAAAAGACCAGTGTGATTCTATGTGCAGAGAACATTCACTGAGAAGACCAAGGACTGCTCAGTGAAGGGTTTACTACAAGTCAGAAGACAGTTGCTTTAAATGAGTAAAAGTTGATGTTTCCTCACACTCACTTTTTGATAATTACTACAAAGATGTAGAAAAATGTTCAGGTGTCTGTTACCAGCAATAACAGACCAATGCTATGAAAGCCAACTCTGTCTCCACCTCAGGGGAAGGACACAGGAGAGACCTTAATGCTAAAATTCCTCTCAGAACCTGGTCCTGGATCTACCAATTCACATCAGCAACATCTCCTGCAATGCTTTGGCTACTGAAGATGAGTCTTTCCCCCTTCTCCCTGAAAAAAGGGAAAAACTTCTCAGGAAAATTGCTGACTTTATTCCTGCACCAGCTTCCTTGGAATTGCCAAGATTTTCCATCTTAGTAGCCTATATTTCAATCTCTTTCACAGTCAAATTTATTAGCAAGTGTGTACTAAAAAAAAATACACAAAGAATAAAGGCCTCCTGATTTTTCCAGTTTTGCTGCTGCTGAGCAACACTGAAAACACAGTCACATCATCTTAAAAACAGGCATTACTTACTTTACACCTACTGTATCTTTTTACAAGTGCTGTTGCTCCCTTCTGAACTGATCCCATTGGATTTCTTCTAGAAAGCTTTCTGGACACTTTTACAAGTATGAGTTTTCATAGCCCTGTATGCATTTACACAGCTTGACTATTCATAGTTCAAACAAACAAACAGAAGTATCACTAGACCACTGAACCACAACAAAATAGAAGAGATTGTTTCAAAAATAAAAATAATACAGGAAAAACAAACCTAGAAACACATACCAGAAGAGTGTGGGGTTTCTATTTTTTTTTCTTTAAAACTACTTTTTAAATACAGACAAGCATGGAAAAAAAAGCAAGAAATGCAGAAAGGCAAGAAAAGCTCCTGCTTGGTTCTTAGCACACTGGGTGTGACAAAATCAGACCCTCAGAAACTGGAGATGAAGATACATGGTATACATTACTTACAGCACCTCAAAAACACTACAGGATTGCAACATTGCCCAGAAAAGCCAACCAGCAAGCCATGTACTTGAAATCACTAAGCCAACTTTTAATTCAGTCTCCTGCAGAATTACATCCAGTTAGAAAGATTCTGTGCAGCTGACAAAGAATTTTCAAGATATTTTCTTAAAAACTGTGAGCCCACATACACAGTCTGAATAAGTAAATTCAAAAACTTGTTAAAAAAGAGAATACCTTTATTTTAGAAAGATTTCATGAACAGAAACTACCATAAGGCAATTATAATTACAAACAGAAATTTGGGGGGGGGAAAGTGCTCAGTTGTCCCTCAGCTGAGCTCAATTTGAACCAAAAATTTTCTTCAAAATGCATATTTTTATAATATATTTTTATAATATAAATATATTATATTATAATATATTTATAGTATAAATAATATAATAATATAAAATTTTTATATTATAAACTTTTTAGAAAAATACAAGCACACCATGGTGTTACAGCCTATTCTTAGAGAAGTAAGTACTAATCTGGGTTGCTATTCAACAATTTGATATATATATATATATATATATAAAGAGCCTGAGTTTCAGCTGATAGCACATGTTTCTCTCCTACAGCAATTTTTAGGATAAAGCAATGGCTGAACTTTGGAGAGGGGTATTTTTCTGCTGATTTTATTTTAGATGTGAGCAAAGGGCAGAGGGCACCACCTCCCACTGTTCCAAACCCTGCAAGTATGGATGTGAGCACCATATTCCAGACTTACCTAAACTGTAAGCATTCCATTTTTCAGTATCACACTTAACTCCACACTTCTGCTTTCACGTGTGGAGCAGCACAGGAGTTAGAGCAGCTCACTCTCACCCAATTAGCCAAATCAACACCTAAACACTTCTGTCACAGAGAAATTTACACCCACCAGGTGAGAACCAGTGACAATTATTCAGCACAGCTGGTCTGGCTGAAAGAACCACTCTGAATATCTAAGGTGTTACACATAGATATTTTAAAGGCTTCAGTTGAGAGGTTTTCAAAATTTTCTACCCATGTAGTCATAGCTCTACAGTTGCCCACTTTGTATGGATAAACAAAACCCCTTCCATTACAGACACCTTGCAAGGATAAATGCCATGGGAAGGCAGTGACCAGCCTGCCTTTTGTTTTGCATCTTAACTACACCAAGCATCCTTGAGAGATGCACATCAACTCTTGCTCACCTAAAAGCACAAAAGCAGAACTGAAGACATCAATTGCAAGAATCAAAACCCATCCAGAACAAACTGAAGTCAGTGCAGGAGCCAGCTGCTCACCAGAGGCCTGGATGTGGTTTTCTGGGGGAATCACACACTCACAGCCACACAAGCACTCTGCAAAACTACCTTAAATGAAAACTGTGAATAGGAGGAAGTTGAACTTCATAAATAAAATGGCAGCCTAGATAAAGGAACAACCTGGGCAGGAAACAACATTGTCTGGTTTGCATTAATGATGATGTGATTTCAAACCCAAGGCTCAGCTTTAGTAAGGGCCTTGTGCATTTCTGTGCCACGCAAGACAAGATGGGTGAGGCCCCACTGCACCATCACATTTCTGTGGCACTTGTACATCCCAGAGCACAGCTAAGGTGCCTTACTTCCAGAAACAAAGATTTAAATCCCAAACTGAAGAAATGCAGTTCATAATCACAGGAGAGCACTCTACTTAAGACAAATTAAATGTCTACAGGAGCCACTTACGCTCTGTCAAGTGTCAATACATCCCAGGGTTTTGGTGTGCATTGTCTGCTTGCAGGAGGGGTGTTTCATTACCTTAAGTCTCTGATTGAAAGCATCAAACAGCAGTTTGATTCCATCCTGAGTCAGGTTAAGGATGAGGTCATGGCTAAGAGGTGACTGTAAAAGCAAAGAAAAAAGCTGTTAGGCTTCTAATTTCAAGACTTCTTTGTTAAGATATACATCACTGTAAAAGTATAAATTGGTTACTTTAGAAAAACAAAACTACCTCAGAAAACAATCACTTGTTCAATGAATAAGCATAACTAAAATACATTTGACCAGATCTCTCAAACCTTCCATTTCCTTATGAAAAGAAATAGAAGTCCCTGTATAATATCTGTGCCCTGCAAAAACTCCTAAGAGTGCTTTGTCCACTACTGTAAGTGGGGAAAAAAACCCAACAAAACTGAAAACAATGTAACTCCCAACCCCATTTAAAAAAATGAAAAACAAACAAAACCCCACCTTGAAAATTAACATTCCCAGTTTAGCATCAGAGATTTCATCATCCAGGGACAGCCTCTCTTTCATTCTTGGTGCACAACAATACCAAGGCTCACATCAGAGCCAGGGATGTGCTTGACAAAGAGATGGCTTTCCACTTCAAAAACCAAACTGTCACAGTCTTTTTTAGGCCTCAAAAGGAAGGCTTCAGACTCTCATGTTGTGAATTTAGGTTTCCTTAGTTACTGTGAATCATAACAACTAAAGGCTTAATTTGCAGTCTGCTGGAGTCAATAGGAGACATTCCTCTGGCTTTGCTGGTGTCTGTATAGGCTCTGCTGGGGAAGCTGCTCCTGCTCCACCAGGGCAGTGCACACAGACACAGCCACTTGGCCCCAGTTCAGCTTTTTGATCATGTACCATCTAAAGCACATTTGCTTCAAAATGCTCTATCCCCCACAGCTGTCTCAGAGGAGAGAAAAGGTTGAATGCCAGGCAGGCAGCAAGATTCATGCCCTAGAACCGCACCAGGCAGTTTGCTAGCTAAAAAACAGAATGGGGATGGACAACTGGGGCAAATAAAGGCTCCTAAAGTGGACAGCCACACCATACAGCCCTTTCATGAATAAACCATAAACTTTGCTCTACTCAGAGGAGCTCTGGGGTTTGTCAAAAGCCCAATTCTCATCTTCAATTTTCTCACATCACCACTGTCTTCTAGCCTTGATATTTTCTGAGCATTTTCATGTGCATGTCCCACCCCTTCCCAAACCATACAGCCAAGTAATCAGTTCCTAGACCTCACATCACTAAGTTAAAAAAAGCCATGGGGCTTTCCATCCCCTGTGATGCAGATTTCCTGTTCCCCTGGGTCACTGCAGCAGCTTTTCCTGAAGCTGGTCCAGTTTGAGTCCATCTTTCCTGAACACCAGTGAGCTGCTGTGCCAACTCTGTCCTAAATGAAACTTCCACAACACTTCACACACTGCCATCAACTGATGGCACCTCACTCCTGCTGACAAACCTTTATGGCTCTGTGCAGAACTGAAGCAGCATTGCAACAAAACTATAAGCATGAGATGAAAAGGCCTAATGTTGATCATGGCAGTCATTTTCTAATCCCTTATAAACCTAATTTAGAAAGGCTACAGATAGAGCAAAACAACCTTGTAATCTGGCATTCAAATACACCAGCTGAGTTGCTCTGCTATGGGATATGCTCTGCATTTCATTGGTTTCTAAATAGTTTCCATAAGGTTATTCCAAAATTAATGAGAGCATTACAAGTACTTTTGAGTGGATGGAAAAAAAAAACCCCAAACATCCGAGGAAAAGCTTGATAATTAGTACAGCAAATAGCTTCTGTTCTATGCTGGCATATTTTCTAATATATGGAAAGATTCAAGGGCACAAATTTAGTTCATGTGACTTTCAATACACAAAACAGAACCTCAAGCATGAAAGATGATGCCAAGAAGCAACAGGAAGAATCTTCCTGAAGGAAGCACCACAGATCTGCAGTTATATTGCTGATCTACACAAAGATGCAGGAAAATCTTATCACTGAACAATGCCATCAGCCACAATCCAGAGAAAGAAGCTCAGGAAAATAAAGGCAATTATTTTAGGCAATTAGGCAACCCCACTTAAACTTACCAAAAATGAGTTAAAATTCTTTTATTCACAGAAAAGGATTCATCAAGCTTTTTTGGCACAGTTTGGGCATCCCATTTATGTCAAGTTAAAGAGAGCACCATGGGCAGATCTAATTGCATTTAATTGCCATATAAATTTTTGAAAGGAAATACTCACTGCTGGAGTTCCAGGATCAGAAATTCAAATTTAGAGATGCAACAGCTTTAAATAACATTTGATCACAGTGCTCAAAGGTATTCTTTTACAAGGCAAAGAAGAAAAACATGAAGGCTATTCAGGTAGTTTTTCTGAGATAGAAGCTGTGCATGGCAAAGTTAATTTAAGGCTTTGAACCTTATAAGAACTGAGCTCTTTGTGCTCAGCTGTTAATGAAATGCATGACACTGTGCACAAGGGTGAGGACAGAGCCAGACAGTCAAATGCAGGCCCTGAGTGGTGTGTGAAAAAAACCAGCAGGCACTGAATTGCAATAATATACAGGGAAAAAAATAATCATCAGAACTATTCCAGAGAGATGGGAAGAAATATTTTGTTAGACTATGCAGGTGCTAAAACATCTTTACACTTATTACATTTTGGGAATAAACCCTAAACCACTAAACCTGCCCTCTGCAGCCAGAATAGAAGTTTAGCGCACACAGTCAAGAACATTTTAACTTTCCAAGAGGTGCAAAAAACCAAGGAGTGGTACACCTCTGCTTACTAGCACTGAACCACTAATCCTTCTGTGATTCTACAATCTGAGTGGAACAGGGATCCCATCATTTATCTAAACAACTCTAGAATAATTCAAATGCACTGTGGTAAGAAAAACTAAAACTCTCCAAAGAATACAAAACACAAGAAACATGCTCACTGCCAGACAGATGCTCCCATGCATTAATCACAAGGAGCCAGATTTGCAATTCAGTCATCAGAAAACCCATAAATCCACATGAAGTGAAAAAAAAATCATTTAGTAACATGAAATATGTATCCAGCACTTAACAGCAGAGTCAAGGTTGTTCTTAGCCACTCAGTACTCACTGCAAATGCACAAGGCCTGAGTCCTTATTTTGATACAAACTAACATTGTACAGACTCTGCCTTTTTCCTGATGCAAAGAGCTGTAATTTGCAACATATGAATATCTTCTTATTAATATGCATTGCACATAAAACATCTGGAGAGTCCCTTGAGACATCTGAGACTCCTTTGTCCTATCTCCCCTTACACTTCCATCACATTAACACATTTTACTTGATCTAGCAGAAGGGTTTTACTTCTTGATGGAAGTCAAACATACCAGGAACTTACTGCTGAGTTATGAAGAATGATTTAAACATTTATAGCTAGCTTAAATCACTGCACCCACTTTCTGCAGACAAATTTGCAGATGCAGAGAAAAGGTGCAAAAGGCTTTTCAAGGGGCTCATCACCACTGGACCAAACACAAGAGCAGAAAGTAATGAGTGATTCAGTTAAAATTGCAGCACCACTTCACAACGATAAAGTAAATAGACTAGAATTAAATTGTCCAGCTAATTACATAACATTTCATTTTTTAAAGGGAAAACAATGCCACTCCTCCATTGCATGTACAAAACGGACAGTCATTAAATCACTGTACTGCTGTGCTGAGGGTTATTCCATCTGACAAGAAACTTATAAAAGCTGCATCTCTCACAGGGTGGCAATAATTTGGTGTAGCTCAATTTCAAGCAGCCCCACAACTCTCCCAAAATGTACAAGAGCACAAAGGATGTCTTGATGGAGCATGAGGAGCCTTTCCTGGGCAGCCCATGCCTGCTCACCTGCTCGCTGTAGAGAACCTGGACGTTTTTGATAATGCGACAGTGTTTCTGAAGAATTGCTACAGCCTGAGCCAACGGCATTCCTGGAAATAAAAACAGGTTTTCTTCAGTGCAGACAGCAGTTAACAAAGGTTTTAACAGCAAGGTTACACATGAGGTAACCAAGCCACCATCAGCAAACACTGAGTTACAAAAGAAAGGTATGTGGTCAACAAACATGCTGACCTGACTCATGGTATCAGCACAGAGCTGGTGTTTGGAAACAGAAAAGTCATTGTTTATCCAGCAGTTGTTAGGCATATATGAAAAAAAGGCTCTCTAGACACAAAGTTAAACAGCAAAGTTCAAGCAGTAAAAGCAAGGAGCTTGCCACAGCCTGTGCACAAAGTTTTCTGCCTTGTGGGGTCATCAGTCCAATAACTGATAAAATAACCTATATCAAACTGCACTAGAGCTGGCTAGGGCACTCCTACACATCCAACAGCTCCTGAAACACCTTCCATTACACTTTATCAACCCTGGTGGAGCACTGGGCACTCACACCAGACACACACAAACACTAACTCAGAGCAATGATTCCCCTCAAACCTAAGAGGCCACATTAGCTGCTGATATGGCTCTACTTGTGTCAAGGAAGAAACTTTATCTTCTCACTTTACAGACAGGATATACATACTAAAAACTTGGTTCAATTGAGGCAATGCACTTACAGTCACTCAGCCCCTCATACAATTCCAAGGGCTCTTTTTCTTTCCTTAGTGTGTATCTTATCTTTACAATTATATATTTTTGAAAGCAGAATGGAACAGCTGATTCTGCAGAAAAAATAGCACCACATCATCTCATCATTTATCACACTAAAAACCTTTGTTGCCTTTCCAAATGAAATGTGATCACATTCCTGGGTTCAAAGCAGGCATTTATAAAGTGAGGTTATGGGCTCATAACTGTGAAGTTTAATTTTCCTACTAACTGCTGCAAGTCAATTTAGATTTCTTATCTGACATTTTATTTCCATTCCTTGCCCTGTCCTTTTCTATTTCTAATTTTTAAATGTTAAGAAAGTTGGCCTGATTAGGCATAATTTACCTCAGAATCTACATTTATTACATTCAAAACTTTTAGTTACTTGCTACACCAACCAAACTCAGACAATATGTTGTCCTTTTAAACATTATCTACAGTATTAAAGTGAGAAAACTCTCTTTTCATATATATCTATTTATAACATACACACCTAGCTCACCATGGGTACTGCTTTAAAGTAATAATGGCATAACAAAGAAAAAACCCCAAAAATATAATTTTCATTGTTGTGCCCATTTATTGCAGCTTTGCTGAAATGATGAAATCAAGTTTTGGTAAAACAGATGTACAGATTACAACTACAGTGATTCAATTTGCAAATACCACCTACAAACCTGTCTGCCAAACTGGTTTTCACCTTAGCCCATAATCTTGGGGACAATTTGGTTTGCAGCTAGGAATTATACATCAGTAGATGATATTAAATAAAAAAGAGTTATTAGTTTAATAACAATAATGAAATTAAAATGCAGAGCCACACAATAAAGCAGCACTGTTTCCTATTATCTAGGAAATAGCAGTTGCCTTGCAGTCTAGGCAGCAGAGTTTGAAGCTGACAGTTATTATGTATTAGAAAATATTTTCAAAATGGAATAGAAACATGAATAGCAGCAAGAAGCTAAGATCAAAGATGCTGCTGTGGAAGTTCCACATTTCTCAGCCTAGCATAAAGTATGAATCCAGAAACAAAACTAAGGTTGACTGAAGAATACAAATGCCATGTTCTAAGTCAGTATTCATAAAATACCTGAAGAGCTAAGAGCATGGGCTCAGTTAAAACATAAAGCAGTGGCACAGGCTGACAGGACCCAGGGGCCAATGGTGACAGCAGCCTGTGGGGATTCAGTCACAAAGCACCCGGCCCAAGAAGTGCAGAAACACCGAGTTCACGTAAACTGATGCAATCCTGGGCTGCTAAGTGTGCAAACAGATGGCTCATGTGACTCTCTTACTCACAGCTTTCTCAGGCTGCAAGCAAATGGACATAGACTGGCTTGGTTCAGTTTTCAGCCACTGAGAATCAGATTTGGCCATGCAGCTGCTTAGCAGAGCTACAGTGAGCAACCCAAATTCTCCAGGAACAGTTTACAGGACCCAAAATGTGTTGAACAGCCAGTATCCTCCCTCTGCCTCCATTTGCCTCTAGAAAGTCAAAGGAGGAATATAAAAATGGGTTATTTTTCTCCAGTCTTCTCATACACAACATCCCCTTTTTCCTCAACATTCGTCAGCCTTTGCAGTCAAGGAGGAAAACAAAGAATTCTTTTTCCCTTGCTCACCAGTCAGGGGAATGGGGAAGCAAACATGGTTTCCAGCACATCAGACACCCAACCAAACTGAGCCATGGCAGCAATGGCCACAAAGACCAGTGCTGGGGCTCCTCTGTCACAGACCTTCCCTCTTCTAAATGCTGGAGTGCTACAGGCAGTTCTCTCACATACACTGGTCAGGAACATCATGGCCTGAAGCATCAGCCTATGCTAAGAGTGTGGGGCTTGAAGGGATGGGGATAGAGAAGTGAATAAAGATTAGGAGAAAAATACAATAAAATCTAAGATTAATCATAATGCATTAAATAAAGATACATGAAACTCAGTGGGAAAAGAAAGTATAAATCCCGAGAGAACTGCAAGTAAGCCTTAGAAATTATACATCTGAAACACTAATAATACAGCTATAGGCTCTACAGAGTAAGTATTTAATTGTTCTCCTTTAAAAGAGCAGGAATGCAGCCCAAGAGGTGCAGTGGCACAGGTACCTAAACTCAATCTCAGTTAAATTTTTCATGCTCCAGTCACACAGTGAGTCAACACCGGAGCCAGAAACAGAATCCAAAAAGTCATGTACAAAATTTTCCTGGCATTTCCCCTCAGTCATCTCCATTGTGGGCACAGAGCTGGAAGCCAGAGTCAGCAGCAGTTCAGGAATACTGCCATTAGTTCTGCTAAGAGCAGAGCTAAACAAACAACGAGTGGAGCAGGGCTGGCAGTGAGAGCCCCAGTGACAGCAGCCCTGCCTCAGCTGCAGCAGCTCTGTCAGCAGGGACAACCCTCACACCCCACTGCTGCTGCTGCTGCTGCTGCAGGACAGTCAAGGATCCTCAGAGCCAGGCAGCCTCCTGCTCTGCACCAGCAGGTCAGGCTAATTATATATTAGACACATCACGTGGGGGCTATGTTTACTCCAAGAAATACAGCTGAGTTTCCTCCTCTCACATCTATGCATATGTGTGTTTGTGCATACACACAGAGACACTGGAAAACTTTAACCATGAGACTGCACTGACAGGCTTTCCTTGGGGTAAGGAAGAGCATTTTCTCTTTCCTTTTCTTGTTTTGATATGGAGAATGGAGGGGAGCTGGCACTCTGTATTTATGCTGACAGGGTAGGCAGCTGGAGGTTGCCCTTCCCCAGGTAACACAGGCACTAAAGGATGGCAGAAGGTGACACAAGCTGAGAGCACAGGACATTTAGGGTACAAGGAGTTCCCCAGATTTCCAAGGGTGGGACCTGAGGTGCTATAATTAGCCTCCAAAAGCCACTGAGCCCTGTCTGTACCATCAAGTTGTACTTGACTGAAGGCACGGCAGCACAAACAGCCCTTTGTGTTTGATGGGTTTCACATAAACAACCCCAAGGCACAGCACCACTCCTCAGGATCAGCCTAGTTCAGGGCAACTGTGTAACAGTGTCTTTAGGAACAGTCTGTGCCCTGCCTGCCACAGGTGACAGGAGCAGCAGCCCCAGTGAAACTCCGAGCAGGCACAGAGGGTGACACCAGGGCTCCTTTACACCCACCAAACCCTCACCACCATCAACTTCACACAGAGCTGCAGCAATGATGAAAAACGGAAATGAAAGAGGCCAACACTGATCTGTCACACAGCCACCCAGCAAAGGTGACATCTACAGCACTTTCTGAGAGTTTTAAGGACTACCAATATCTGCTTGAAAACACAGGTTGCCCCAGAGAATCCACATCATCCCATTTAAATGTCCTGCCTGAGCACCAAACAAATCTGCATCAGGTGAGGGAAAGTTCTTCTTCATCACAGTAACTACAGCAATAACTGGCAGGGAAGGACTACTCAGCAAGATGAAAAAATACAAGTGTTTGGGGGGAAAAATACTTGTTATCCAACCCTGAGAAAATATCTCCAAAGTTTACTTTCTCCGCTATTTCGCAACCCAACAGCGACACAAAGAAATTGTGAAACTCGACTCATGTTTATGAAGGGTTTGTACAGAAAAGCGCAGCACTTGGAGCAAGTATCACCTGACACATATTCAGGTGACAATCAGCACATTCATGCTTCCCCTTTTCGGAGTTATTTAAAAGAATGACTAGTCTGACACGGCAAGACAAAAGAAAGCAAACGAGCAGATGAAAGCACACAATCAGATAAACAAAGCACAAGTTGGCACGCCAAAGCTAAAGGTGAAACTATGAACAACAAGGAAATGCTTACAGCCCGTACTTTAGTATTTTTAGCCACAGCGAAAGGCGAGCTGTGCCTCTCGCTCCCTTTTTCTCCCCAACCCCCCGAGAGCGCTGGGAGAGCCCCCCGGGACCCGCAGAGCGCAGGCCGGGGGTAGAGCACACTTACCTAAGGTGAACTCCCATTGCTCGTTCCCCAGAGAGCGCTCGGGCACCACCTCCAGATCGAGCATTGGCTCCGGTAGCGCGGAGGCCGCGGGCTGGCACGGCGGTCACCGGGGCGCGGCGCCGGACCCCTGCGGAGGGACGCGGGAGGGAAGCGCCGGGGCAGCGGGCAGCCCGAGCCCGGCCCCGCCACCGCCCCCGCCCCCGGAGGGCACCGACCGGCCGCCCCCAGCCCCGGGGCGGCGCCGGCACCGCGCCGGGCTCCGGGGGAGGCGCGGCTCCGCCGCCGCCGCCGCCGGCCGCCCCTCCCCGCCCCGCGGCCCCGCCGCCCGCGCCCCCCGCCCCGCCCGGTGCCGGAGCGCGGGCGTTGCGACCCCGGCGCGGTCCCGGCGGGGCGGGGGAGCGGGCGCGGCGCCGCCGCTGGGCCCGGCCCGGCCTGAGGGGCCGGGGGGGCTCCGACCCCCCCCGCGCCGCGGGGCCGCGACTCACCTCACTTGCGGCTGCTGAAAAAGTGCTTTGCAGCTGTCGTCAGGCGCGCCCGCGCTGGGGCGGGGAGAGGGCGGGGCCGGGGTGAGCCCCGCCTTGCGAGCGGGGAAGGAGTCGGCTTGGAGAGCGGGAGATCCGGGTTCGAGTCCCGCCCTGGCACTGACGGCCGATGAGGCTCAGCTGTACAGCCCCAGACACACCCGGATAACCTCGGGATCCAAAACAAAGTAACCCACACAAACCACTGCCCACGGCCAGCCCGCTCTTCCAGTTGAAAGGTCAGAGTGCAGGAAAGAAGTGCTAGGGATAAATTAGTCAGGGGCACGAGCAAAGTTCGGAATGAGCTCGGGAGTGACTCAGTGAGGAAGAAGAGAGGAGTAACGAGGTCAGTGGCTTTGCTGTGCTGTCTGAGCAAACAAATAGTGCCACCCAAGAGTGCTGAGCCCAGGAACGGCCCCATTTCCCTTGGGATGGGGCTCAGCACAGGAACCTGCTCTGGTTACAAACAAAGCCCCCAGTGCCAGAAACATCCCCAGAACGAGGAGGAAACGGAACCCTCCCCATCTGCCAGGATGTGCCACCACCTGGGACAGCCCACATCAGAGCAGCCCTCCTTTCAATGGTGGAAACTGGATCCAAGATAAAAGGCACCAGGTCAAGCATTGCCTAAATAAGCAAAGAACTCAAAGAGAAAAATCAAGAATATGGACCCGTGCCATGCTCACACAAAGTGACAGCTCTTCTGGAGTAGGGCAGCACCAGAGATGGAAACTCAAGAGGGTGCAGAGGGCGTGGAAACAGCTGTAACTCCTGCTGCTGGCAGGCTGAGGCTCCAAGTGGGAGCAGAGTGGGGGGAGATGCATTTTTTCCATATTTATTTGAGGGTAGTAGCAATGCTAGCCTGAGCTCACACCCCACCCCTGTGCCCACCACGTCCCAGCAAGGTCTGCAGCAAGGTGATGGCAGCCCCATCACATGGACTGTCCCACAGCAGGACAGAAAACATCAGGAAAGCAGCATACCCTTCAGCCTGCCCAACACAGAAATTTGAGGCCTGCATATTATTTTTTTTTTAATTGTCAAACATAATTTCAGCTATTTCAGCTAGGTTTGTGCTGTGGCTCCTTCCACAGGCAGAGCAAGCCATGGCTGGCAGGGGGGATCAAAGCATTGAAAAGAAATCCCAGACATGCTTGGAAGCAGGACCCTGGCCAGGCTCTGCTCTGAACACCAATTTCTCAGCATCTCTCTTCAGGTCACAGAGCTGTCAAAGCAGGTGAGATTTTAATGTATATGGAGTGGAGCAAGCCCCAGGGAAATTAGTTTTCCCTTGAAGTCAGCTGCATGTTGCTCTATTTATTATTCATGCCTTGCTTGCTTTTGCTTTTTTTTTTTTTTTTTCAATCCAAGCATGGTGACATCTTAATATGCTGAAAATCAGAGAGGTGCTGCCAATGTTTCCCCTTCACTCCAGCCCTCTGACACACCTTCATTGGCTCAAAACCAGAAATTAGCCTTTCCTCTCCTGGGAGCAGAGCTAATCCTTATGAGCCACTTGCCTCTCTCCCGCTCACTGTACATGCATGAAATATATATATATATATGTATATATACAGTATTTGTATGTTTTTATATGTAAGTTCATATTGTGACACCCATAAGGAATGTACTTGGGAGAATAAATATGCAGCTAGAAGCTTTGCATGCCTCATTCATTTAAAGAATACAAACACAGCACCTGCTTTTGAGCAGGTCCATGGCAGTGCAGCCCTCAGGCTGAGGTGCTGGTGGAAAGCAGGAGGCTGCAGAGCAGCTGGGCTTTGCAGAAACCCTTCTCCACCTCATTCCTGTGTTTGGTGATGCCCTTTGAACGCCCAGTGCTGCAAACTGGGGGATGCAGCACTCTGGGCTTTCACTCACAAAGGTTCAGCCTCCTTTGTAGGAGAGTATCACGAGTACGAGCCCAATTCACCAAGGAGAATAAAGGCCAAATACAATGGCAGAAAAAAAGGAATTATTTCTGAGTGTGCCTCTCTACTAACACCCATTTTCACACACCAACCCAAACCCCAGGCTAAGTGGAGAAGGGCTGGGCACTGCCAAATCTGCCACTTTTGGGGCAGATTGGGCAAAGCACCATCATTTTGGCAACTGCTCATGACAGGAAAAACTTAAATTTTAAAGGGATAAAATTACCCTTTTTACTCTCCAGATCATGGAGCACTTCTTGGGAAATTCAGCCCCAGGGCTCAGGAAGCAATGCGCAGCTTTCTGAAAACCAAAATCAATTTTTAAGCCTGGCTCTGTTGTTGACGTTTCTGACTGAGTGAATGGCAGTGGGTGCATCCATCAGAGATGCTTCTACCAAAGCCTCGGGGTGAGATCAGCAGCTATAGGGGATTAATGAATCCCTAAATCAGTAAAAATCGGATTTTTACCTATTTTTTCTAAAATTTTTCAGAATTTTGTAAACTTGAGGGTTTTTTTTTTTTTTCCTAAATCCTACATGTCTACAGGGAGATGTTGGGTGAGGAGAGCTGGGCTTTTGAACTAAGTCGGTGAAAAGCAAGCAGAAAATTGCAGAAGGCACCCGGAGGGACAAGCGCAGCTGTCAGGCGGAGGCGAGCTGCCCTCTCCCGATGGATCCCAGAGCAGCACACATTCCTGCAGGGAAACCTGCCCGTGGCTGCCGGAAAAACGGCCTGGAAGCCGATCCCAGCCTTGGCAGCGCTGATTCAGCTGGACGAAAGATATTCACTGTAAAGCTCTGAAGTTGCTCTGATTTATTGGAGGTGCTTTTTTGGCACTCGAGAATGGATCCAGACGGGGCTGGCAGCTCCAAGAGGGAACCTTGCACTCTCCAATGGGGGATTATCCCACCTCCTCAGGGGGATTTATCCCGCAGCCAAGGGTTTGGAGCTGGGCAGTGCCAGGCTGGGGTTCCTGGGCAGGCAGGGGCTGCTGCAGCACCGAACCCGAACCTTCCCAAGGAGACCCCCGGCTCTGTCCTTCCCTTGCTCAGCGCTTTTCCCCTGCTCGTCTGGGCTAAGCCTGCTCTGCCCTGCCGTGCCCGGGTGGTTTTCAGTGCCCCTGGCACCCTCCGGAGACTGACACGGGCGGGATGCGCAGGATCCAAAAATTTTGCGCTCGAAACCAGAAATTTTGGTGCTGCGAGGCGCTGCCGTGCAGGGCCGAGGGGCACAAGGTGCCTTTTCCACCTTTCCCAAGGAGCCTCCAGCCTGTCCCGAGCCCTGTCCGGAGCCTCCCCCGGCTGCTCCAGGCCAGCATCCTCCTCCCTGCTGCGTGCTGGACCGTGCAGCACACCCACAATAAAGATTTTGGAGGTGATTCCGTGCTTGGCCAGGGGTAGGGAGGTGATGTGTGCCTGGCACGGGCTGTGGGGAGCAGGGCAAGGCACAGCTTGTGCTCAGCCAGCACCGCGGTGATCGCCAGCATCACTCCTCACATCCCAGATTTGGATGGAAATTCAGGAGAGCTTCTGCACCGTGCTTGGCGTCTGGAGATGGGCAGGAACGGGAGGTGCCAGCGCTGACCCGAGGGTGCTGATGAGATAAAACACCTTAAACACCGACCAGGCAGAGGGACAGCCCTTGCCCCACCACACAGGGCATTTCACAGGGCAGGGGCTGAGAGGGATGGGCAGGGAGCGGCAGCTCAGGCTGGCCTCGGGAGGGGCTGCTCACCACAGGCAGCGGCTCCCCTGCATCGCCCCAGGGCAGCGCTACATGTGCATTTCACAGAACTCCAGATCTATTTCAAAAGCTCTGATTCGTGCAGGGCTGGAGCTAAACTGGCTTTGGCTTCATTAGAAACAGATGCGCTGGTTTCTCTCTCCGCCAGGCGCGGGCAGGGTGCGGAGCCGGGGTAGGGCGGGACCGGGGCACCGGGCATGGGCAGCGAGGATGGGCACCGGGGGCGGGCACCGGGGATGAACACCGGGGATGGGCACAGGTAATGGACACCGGGGATGGACACCAGGGATGGGCACTGGGGATGGGCACAGGAGATGGGCACCGGGGATGGGCACCGCTCCTGCCCGGGTGGCTCGGAGCGGAGCCAGCGGCCTCAGCAGCTGCTGCGAGGGACCGTCAGTCCTTCCAGGAGCCTCTGGCCGCAGCATCCTGCCTTCAACTGCTGCATCCTGCCTTCGGGTGTTGCCCAGCACTTGGGGTTTTAATCACACGTTGAAAACTGGTGGGGAAATTTACCCTGGGGAAAAGCACAGGGATTCTGTAAAAAAAAATATTTAAAGGACAGGTTTTGTGGGGAAAAAAAGGGTAAAAGATGGATCCGAGGATTCTACAGAATTCCCAAACCCCTTATTGCAAGGGTTTATGGATCCAGGGGTGCTGCACATGTAGCAGGGCTTTCACCTGGGCTCAGTTTCACCTCCAGGTATCTTTCCAAAAGGGATTTTTGATTGTCACAGCTGATGATGAGGAAGGGCCATGGGGCATGGTATGAGAAAGAGAGAGGGGTGTCAGCCCCCTACACCAGCCTGCTCCAGCCCTGGTGGTTGGGGTTCCATCATTTAAAAGGAGATGAGTCAGAGCTGCAGGGCCCTCTCAGAGCCCCTGAAGATCTGTGCCCATTTTGTCACTGTCTTCTGGTGAACCAACAGCAAGGGTGTGACTCGGGTGTTACTCACGGGCTGTGGTGGACAGAGCCAGCAGCAGAGATGCTCCCTGAGCCTCCTCCCAGGGCAGTGTCCGTGGTCCCACTGGCACATCCTGCCCCTCAGGCAGAGCTGCGGATGTGGAGAGGGTTTGCAGGAGCTGGTGCTGAGGCTCTTTGCTGGGGCTGGTGGTTTCAGAAAGTCACGCAGCCGCCGGGACCACCGGCCCCAGGTCCCGGCAGTCACACGCCAGATGTGCTCTGCAGAGCAGAACTGAAAGCAGAACCAAAAAGAGGATCTGTCCTCTCATCTGTGTGGGAGCACCCGCCAAGGGGCTCTGGGCCGGGGCTGTCACTGCCAGGGAAGTGTCTGGGTGTTCCTCAGCAGCAGCTCTGACCTGAGCAGGAGGAAATCACCGGGCAGCTCAGGGACAGG